GGGTTTTTTTTTTTATATCCTTGGCTCAGTCTGAAGCTTGAAGTGTTACCTTGAGTTTTGTCCTTTGGTTAATTAGCATTCACTGACTGCATTTTACACACCGATATCATGGAAAACGTTTTTCATTAAATTTTTAAAAAATATTTTTTCATCCATTTTCATGTTGCAGCTTTATTAACCACTTTAATTTACATATTATCCTATCTGTTTTACAGATGCGAATCTGAGGGCAGAGTTTGAACTCCAAGCTTTTGGACTACAGGGTCAAAGCCAATTACTATTCTGCCAGAAATAATTTTAATCACGCATGATATTATGCATTTAATAACCCCAATTTGTATAATTTATCATGTTTCGTGTTTTAGGGTATTATGGATGGATTCAATTCAGGATTAGAAAGCACCTGAAGAACTTGATATAGCTTTTTCTTGGCCTATGTTTTACATGATAATTTCTAAAAGTAGAAAAATCTTTATACACATACAGCTTAAAATGGTTATAGTTAAAAGTAGTTCCTCATCTAGTTCACATTACCGTAACCAGTAAAATAATTTCTATTGCTTCTGCTACTTTACCAACCATGGTTTCTTTAGGATAAAATGTTGTTGTTTTCATTATGTAACCCAGGTTGGCCCTAATCTCTACAACTTTTAACCTTACCCTCCAATGTGATTATTGGGGTATGCTACCACACTCTTGTTTTCCTTTCCAGTTTTTTGACTCATTCTACTAGCTCATACTTCTAGCTTTGAGGAATGTTCTGATTTTCATCCTTTATCATTTTCTTTATTCCTTTATAACTAAAGAAGCAACTTCATCAAGGAAAACTGATAAAATAGAAAATTAAAAAACCCTAAATATAATAGAAAAAAACTGTCTCCCATAATCCTACCAATTGCTGCTACTACTGCTAACATTTGGAGCAGGACTTTTCACTATTTACATAAATTCTTTCTTTGCTTTTTTTTCTCTAAAATAAGAACTTTCTATTCTTGACTTTCCTTTATATTCAACTGAATATTAAGGGCATATTTTTGTGTCAAAAAATACCTATTTACTTATAATCATTCTTTTAAAAAAGTTATTTATTTATTTATTCATTCATCTATCTGTCTATCTATTATCTATCTATCTATTTATTTATTTATTTATTTATATTTTATATTTATGAGTGCTTTGCCTGCATATAAGTTTGTGCACCATATGAATGCAGTGCCCATGGAGATCAGAAGGGGGCATCGGATCCCTTAGAACTGTAATTACAGATGGTTGTGAGTCACCATGTGGATTCTGGGTGTTGAAGTGGGTCCTCTGAGCAGCAGCCAGTGCTCTTAAGCGCTGAACCATTTCCCTAAGCCCCACACAGTCATTCTTAATGTTTGTTTAGTATTCCATTTATGAATGTGCTTTACAATTGTTTTCCAATCCCGTCTTGAATATCTAAGTTGTTTCCCTTAGGGTTTCCCCTCTCAGCAGTAACTGTCCTAAGAATCATTACTGTTTGGGTAATTTAGACGAAACACTAGGGAGATAGGTGACAGAAATATTTTTCAGTCATTTTCTCAATATAATGTACATAAATCTTTTTTTTTAAAAAAAATTTATGTGCAGTGGTGTTTTGCCTGCATGAGAGTGTTGGGTCCCCTGCAACTGGAGTTACAGAAGCTGTGAGCTGCCATGTGGGTGCTGGGAATTGAACACAGGTCCTCTGGAAGAACAGCTAGTGCTCTTAACTGCTGAGCCATCTCTCCAGCCCTCAATATAATTTACATTATCAAGGAGGAAGCCCCATGAAGAACAGGGAACTTGATAAAGATGAAATGGGAAAAAATGAGATGTTGAATGAGTTTGGAATTTGAATCTGGCTTATGACACTTACTAGCTATGGAATCTTAGATGAATTATTTAACCTCCTTACATTTCCATTATCTCATCTGTAAAACAGATGTGCTGATTTTTATTTGATGAAATTACTAGGAGCATAAGCAGTATCAGATAGTAAAAATGTAGCATACCAAGGCTCAGAGAACATTGGAGAAGAGGAAAAAAAGGATAAAAGAGCCAAAGGATGGGGAGATGTGCAGCAGAAAGATGTCTTCAGGACATGTCATAGCCATTGCACTGAGGCTATGGCTACATGCACAAGACCTGCACCAGACTGAGCCCATTAAGCTTTTGTCATGGATGGAAGATGGGTTCACCAAGTCCCTTCTTTTGGCTATTAAAAGTTGTTTGGGATAGGAGTGTCATTTTCTTTAGTTAGGTAAGCCACTGGCAAGTCACCCTTGCTCCACTAAATAACCTCCTACGTATGCGTGGGTAAAATTTCTAATTCAACTCAGTGGGTCACATACAAAAGGGAAAGGTAAACGTGACTTGCTGAGAGGAAGGGTTCCGGTAGGAGGAGGGATATAAGACAGGAGAATGGAGGTGAACATGACTCAAATTCATTATATATATATAACATGTGTGACCATGCATTCTGGTAGTTACTGGACAAGTGTCACTCTGTTGAAGCAACAACTGCACACCTTCTACAACGTTCAAATCTGCCAAAATAGACATTTAGCACAGGAGGTGAGATTCATTTTGAGAGTCCTACATTCACATGGCTTCCATTTTTATAAACATTTGCCTTGTTTTCCAACCCCAATGGAGTAGTGCAATTAAAGACCATTTCAGAAGACACATTCACATTAGGGTGGAGTCGAAGCTGATAGAGCAGAGAATCATAAGTGAGGGGACTTGAACAAAGTCTACAGGTCATGAATTCTAGGCAGATTCACAAATAGGAGGGTACACGCTCTGTAAACACCAGCTGTTGCCATAAGCCAAAGGCCAATATTTACACGAATCCTGTGGCAAAGTCTATTTACTAAGCATCGACCTTTCCAGCCAAATTTGTATACTTGAATGCACTTTCAGCCACACAGTCTTTAAAAGGAAGGATCACCTTATACATATGTGAGAAATTGCCAAAGTACAAATACGTTCTATCTCTCAACCCCAAATCAATTCCCAAGTTGTTCCCTTGGAATGTGGAATGCATATTTAGACAGAAAAAAATGTCCCGATGAAAGTGCCTTTAATGCATGGTATACCAGAACATTGGATGGTAGTAATAAGCAATATGGTACCTTAAAAGCAGGGACACAGCAAAAGACAGCAAATATTTCTTGGGCCTTTCAACTGTTACTACAAGATGCAGGCAGCAAAAAAGGGGGATTCTATTTTTTTTCTCAGTTGCAGTTTGAATGAAGAGAGAGAGAGAAAAAAGAGAAAAATCCTCTACTTCCTCTGTTTGGCAAGTATGTATATATATCTTACTTCCCCCTTTCAGGTCTTCTGTAATTTGTCCACCAAGGGACCTTATTGATTGATTGAGGAGATTGTACCGGCAGTGGGGAAGGGGGTAAGAATTCATATTCCTTAATGTATCTGTATATTTTAATAGAAAATTCATATTTTAGTGGTCAGTTAGTCCATTAATTCTCTTCTCCTTTAATGAAATCTGATGCTTCAGGAATATCAGCTGTTTTTATACTGAGACACACCATGTCCATTGGGTAGTGCATATCTGTACTTCAGCAAGAAACATGAACAGTAGACTTGGGTGGAATGATCCGCACATAATGAAGGTAAATGAGAAGATGCTATCATTAGATTCTTCTTCCCTTTCTTTGGCACACCCATTCAGTCACTAGCTTCTTCTCTGCCTCTTTTCCTGTGTTTAAAATTAGACCATGGAATGGAGCATGGTTGCTTATGCCTGTAATCCTAGGGATTGAGAGGTTGAGGCAGGAGAATTGCTGCAAAGTAAAGGTCAGCTTGAGCTACAGAGCAAGACCCTCCCTCAAAAGAGATAGGTGGGAGAAAGGAAGGGTAAGAGGGAAAGAGAGAAAGAGGCACAGAGAAACACACACACACACACACACACACACACACACACACACACACAGAGAGAGAGAAAGAGAGAGAGAGAGAGACAGAGAGACAGAGAGACAGAGAGACAGAGACAAAGACAGAGAGAAACACACACACAGTGCGAGAGACAGAGAAACAAGACCTAGTTTAGGGACAGGATCTTACATCCACATCCATTCACACTAGGGTGTGGGTAACCAGTAATAGTATTATTTGGGGTCACCTGACTGCTATGACACTATTTACACAAACCACACTTTATTTTAGATGGGTTGTTTAGGAAGGTATGCTGATGGAAGTTAACCATGTGACAATTAATTTGGAAAACAGTTGCTTCATTTTGGAAACAGTATGCTTTGTGATTGTTTGGTATACTGTTTCTTACATGTCTTGTTGTCTGTCATCTCTAATGCCTGAACTTTAAAGGGTAGGCTATCAATCTTTCCATTGTTGATAAATAATGAGGGGACATAGAAGCAATAATTAATAGTTGTGTGTATACACACTTGACCCTTTCACAAAATTCATTCAGCGATCATTGATTAATAACAAGGATATGGACAGATCATAAGCAAAAAAAAATCATAATTGTTTAATTCAATGACCAATATTAGATAACCTATCACAACTTGCCCTAGGTTTTCTGGAAGACTTTGGCATTGTCTCCTTTGAATTTTAAAATTCAGTGGTGCAGTCAAAAGAAGGGCTCCTGAGTATTGGCCATCTGAGAAAACCAGAGTGGAAAGCAGAGCACGTATTCCTAAAATCTGAGTCAGGTTTTGCCTTCTAAGGGAATATTTGTCATCAAGTGAGTCAAGTTCTTTTTCAGCAGCGTTTCTGAAGGTGAGTGTATACTGTCAATCTAATTCCTCCAGAAGCCTGCAAAAGGGCAATCCCCAGAGGGAGAAAAACTGTATACTGAGAAAGACCTTATATAGTGCGCTCATAAGCAGAGGAGTTCTTTGTGCAAGAAGGCAAGAACACCCCGAGGCACAGAGGTGCAGAATAGGTAGAGCAGATTTGAGGGAAAGAGAATTTCTTCTGCACACATCTGTGAGGGGGAACTCAGCTCTCTGTTGGGGGCATATGGAGAAGTAGAATTTTTAAGGAGCCATGAGCTGTGTGTGTTTCGTCCTCCACCCCTGAGTTCACCCCACATTCAGGCAACAGTTGGTCGTGTGGGACCAGCCCGGGCTCTGGATGGGGAGGGGGAGTCTCGCGATTGGTGAGGGGGGGCGGAGGGGGGAGGGTGATAGGGGGGAGGCCATGACGTAGGGTGGGTGGACGGAAGTGGGGCAGGCAGGGTTGAGGGTTATTTAAAGAAGGTGGGGGGCGAGCGAAGGGGTTGGAAGCTAGTATTCCCTACCCCTGCTCTATCTAGCTCTTTCCAGTGCAGCCACTGTTGCCGCCCAGAAGCCTCCCTTCTCCCCTTCCTCGTCCCCCCTCATCTTTCCCGCTCCAACGCCATGGAGCCGGACACGGCCACAGAGGCAGCCACCGTGGCAGCCTCGGATACCAGAGCCACAATCGTGGTCATAGAGGATGAGCAGCCCGGGCCGTCCACCTTTAAGGAGGAGGGAGCGGCTGCCGCCGCCACGGAAGCCACCACGGCCACTGAGAAGGGCGAGAAGAAGAAGGAGGTAAATAGGAAAGGGGTGTGTGCGCGCGCTCTGTGTGTGCTGGTCACATCCTGTGCCTGGCCCCTCATAGGGGCCCAAATCCTGACCTTTTGGCGCCGACAGGTACCCGCGATCACTGCAGGAATGGGGGCAGCGGGGCGGCAGAACCAGCTAGCATTCCCTCCCCTCCCCCTTTCCTGCCGGCCGCCTGCTGGGCGGGGGCGGGGCAGGGCGAGGGCGCGGTAGGGTGGCGGGGTGTCCGATCGGGAGCCCCAAGTCTCTTCTAGCCCCGGGCCCCCCCACCTTCCCGGAACTGGGGGAACGGTATGGGGGATGGGGCCGTGCAGGAAAAAGCCTCGGCCTCTCCCTTTCCTTGCTTATTCTCCTACCCCCCTCTTCCCGTGGGCCTCTGCCTGGGAAATCTGGGCCCTTCAGTCCCACCACCGCTGAAGGGGGTTTGACTGGGGCTTATTTTTGTAATTTAAATTTCAAGGTGCTGGTGATAGGGGGAGCAAGACGGGGAAGAGGAAGAATGGTTGGAAGATAATGCTTGCTTTGATTGGCAGTGTCTGTCTTTGGGATTACAGAAAAAAAAAATCTTCCTTGTTCCTTTGATCCCCGCCTCATGGTGAGGAGGGGTTGTCATGTCAAGAAAAAAACCTCTCCGCGGTTTACCTTATAATCCTCACACTGAGGAACCATGCTTGCTGTCTTAGGAAAATGTCCAATCTTTGCACCCTCACCCTCTCCTGCCCTGCCCCGATGGTATAGTGTTTCACTCCAGGCCACCCAGATGATCCCCACCCCCTCGCCCCCTCCCACATCTGGTCTCTGGTCTTCTAGCCTTTCACTTCCCTTGCCTACTGGGGCACCATTCACTCCTTGACACAGGCAATTTTTTGTCAATGTTGTAAAGTCATAGTCTGTAGGATGAACTACTCCTGATACATAAGAAGGAATCACTGTCACACCCATTACAGACAAATCCAGGAAGTAGGTATTAATTCACATTAATATGCAAGTAAAACTATACAATGCTTTGAAAATTGATATTAAAGGATAGGATGGAGCGTAAGAAGTTTTAATGTCTAACGAAATTGCAGAACGGATTGTTTATAGGTGGATTTTTTCCGTTTATGACACACATGATGATTTTAAAAATGGTGGGTAATTGCAATTACGCCTTAGAGATCTCAAGTGGGTTTGTATGAATCATTATACAATGCTATATGACTAAATGGACAGCTTTGGGAGGAAATTCACACCCTTTGCTTTGTATTAGAAGAGTGGTGCTAAATCCAGCAGTTACTTAAGTCACAGTTAACTGTTCCAAAGTTGACTAAACAGAAGACAACTGTAGTGCTACGTGAAAACCATGGAAGACACTGGATGTAAGATGTGTTTAATACTTGGATCGGTAAGACAACATTGATGATTAAAGCTGGGCCAAATATCAAGTATCAGCATTAATTGGTTGAGAAATTCAGCAATGTATCTAGTGCCTTTTATTCCCTGGACTGGGCAAATGTAAGTGCTAAATAATTCTTCTCCTTCTTCTTTGGCAAGGTAGTCAATGTTGAATTTTGAAATTGTATAAGTTTTTGGATTTCCATTGTGAAAAGACTGGGGATCAATAAAAAATACATTTAACAAACAGGAAGTGTATTGCTGTATGTTCAGGAACTCTATATACTTGGAACCTCATTTGTCCACTCAGGATAGAAGCTGCACTTCCTGCTTCCTGGGTTTCCAACATTTCCTATTTTGGTCAATCTTTTTTTTTTTTTTTTTTTTAAATTTTCAGTTGTCCTTAAAAGCTTAGTTTGGGATGGGATGGGAGACAAGGTTAAGAGCCCTTGACACACAATCATGAGAACTAGAATTTGGGTTCCACCAACCAGGTAACACACTAGGCCTGCACACACCTGACAGCCTCATTTTTGAGCATGGCAGAACTAGGAGGATTGCTGGGGCTTGGTGACTCTGAGTCTAGTGGGAAAATGGCAACCCATGGTCGAGGGAGAGACACTGCCTCAGAGGACTATGCAGAAAGCAATAGAGGAGGACCCTGATGCTCTCTTTTGTCCCCTACACTTGATGCATGGAATCTTCACACTCCTATGTGCATATATCCAAACAAATGTATAGAAACACACACACACACACACACACACACACACACACACACACACACACATTTTTGAACTACCTTGAATCTGTAAGAAGTACACACTTATTCTTCCCTTGTAGTCATTGGTTAGTATACTTTGACAGTGATACAAAGCCTGTTTACATTAAGCAGGTTGTTTCCTCTCTAAATAACCATTTCTCAGACTTTTTTTTAAAAGTAATAATAGCTTCTCATTATTTCTGCTTCTAATAATTCTTGTCTCCTCAATAGCAGGGTATTTACTTTCACTTTTAAAAGAGCTCATCTACTTTCATCAGAAAGAATGTATCTATCTTACAGGACATAGATATAACAAAGGCATAGGATCATTTAAAGCCTCTGTAAAATTAAAAATATCAGTGATGCTCAGCCCAAGGATAAAGGATGCTAATACAGAGAACAGGATGTCAGTTATGGAGTTCTGCCATCTCTTCCTGGTGTCATGATAACACCTTGTTTTAGTAGTCGTTACTATGCCATTTGGTAATGCTTTCATTCCCTTGGGTGTGCAGAGCTGGACTATCAAATGAGATAGAATTGGATAGAGCTATTAGTGAACTGATTGTGACAGTTAGCCTACACAGGCGTATTTTTTTTTTTTTGCCTTATGGTTCTTGAAAAAATTAAAAAATTTGTTGTGGATAGTAGTGTCAATGAAGTGATTACCCATATCTTTTAATAGTACTGCTCAGGATGAGGGATTCAAGTAGTGTGTGATTAGATTTTTAAGCACAGAAGTAATGAATATTTTTTTTCTGAGATCTAATCTTCTGATAGTGAAGTTTATTTCCATATATATTTATCATATATATATATATATATTTGATGAGGTAATTGTTAGTGTTTTAAAACTTGAAAACTCCACCTCATTAACCTTTTAAGATGAAAGTGTGATTTTTTAAAGATTTATTTATTCATGTATTTTATGTATGTTTTGATATCTAAGATTTTGTTGCTTTGAAAATGAGACTTGTAGTATATGTGACTTATTTTTTCTGAAACAGGGTTTCTCTGTGTATCCCTGACTTTCCTAGAACTCATTCTGTAGACCAGGCTGGCCTCAAATTCAGAGTTCTGTCTGCCTCTGCCTCCTGAATGCTGGGTTGAAAGTGTGAGCCATGACTCCCAGCATATGTGACATGTTGAAAGTATGTTCTTCAAAGTGTTTTTCTCAGCTTCTATTCCAATCCATCCAGAATTACATTCAAGACATCTCACACAGTTGATCAGATCACTATACCTGAGATGCTGTAAATCAACATAGTTGTTATGCGATCAGTGCTCCACAATAGGACTCTGACCAAGGTCAAGTTCCATATTCTTTGTTTGAATTTCCTCAAAATAAAACTTTTGGCAAATGTTGGAAGACAGTCATTAATTATCAGAGGCATTTTGTTTTCTTGTTTAAGGTCCTATTCTGGTGCTGAATTATTATGGAAGATTTCAGAGACAGGTTGACAAAAGCTGTGATAAAAGTGACCTCATTTCTTTTGTTTTCACAGAAAAGATTTGTGCTTTAATTTCTGCAAAGTCTGTGTTCAAATCCAAATATTCTTGGTATTGATCTTAGTGAATAGATTCTTGTTTTGTTATTTTATCTCTTGATTTCTCCCAGAGAAGGATATTTACTCTATGTATGTTCTGATATTTAAATCAATAGGCTTGTTTTTATGTAAGACGTTAACCATGTATTGGCAAGTTATTTTAGACTTCCCGTTACTAATTGATGCTAGTGTTCACTAAATTACAGCTTTAAAAACATCAACAGTTAATAGAGAATAGCTCTGACGAATCACTTGTATAAAATATTTTTGTAACATGAATAGAATAGTTTTCTTTCCAGAGGAAATAAAGTGACCAGTTTGAAGCTGTACTATTGGATTATTTTAAGTGTATGAGATCATGTCACACTGCATAAAAATGTACATGCTTTAATTAGTCTAGGAAAACAAATTTCAAAAGTGTCGTTTCAGGAACAGAAGCCAGAGTCTTTTCTTCTGAAAGTCTGGCTGGTTTCCAGTACATAAAGAAGTGTTTGGGAGGGTTATTATTTACATTTCTTGAATTCTTTGGGTTGTGGTTGAGCATTGGCCTGTTCAGGATTTCTAAGTCTGCTATTTTATGGTTGCACATTTCTTCTGCTTTAATTAAAAATAGACAAAAGGGCTTAGTGTTTTATTTTTGGTTTTTATTCTAATTAATGCCATCTCTCTGATATTTCAGGTTTTTTTTTATTGGACCTCAGGTGCACAGAATTGGATTAATCATAAGCCCTGCTTTATAGCATGCTCTCATCATTGCTCCGTGCATGTCCCTCAGTGATTTATTTATCAAGTTATTTAATTACTTTGGCTTTCTTTAAGGGAGAACATTGACCAGCTTAAAAACCTTGCTTTGCAGTTGGCTGATATTTATTTCCTTTGAAATTCTAGAAAATCACTTCTCCATTTCAACTCAAACTTGCTGCTAAAGCTTCCAAATCTGAAAAGGAAATGGACCCAGAATATGAAGAGAAAATGGTAAATATACCCTTGGTAAGGTAGTAAACATTGTGATTCTCTTGTTTGTTTGTTTGTTTGTAGACAGGTCAGGTTATAGATTTGACTATTTATGACACATAGTCAGATTTCAGAGTACAAATGTAATTTAATACATTCAATTGTCACAAGTGTGTGTGTGTGTGTGTGTGTATGTATGTGTATGTATGTATGTACGTGTGTGTGTGTGTGTGTGTGTGTGTGTGTGTGTGTGTGTGTGTGTGTAGGCCAGAAGTGGATGCCAGTTATCTTCCTCAATCACTGCCTACCTCATTATTATTTTTTTTTAAATTCTGGCTTTCTTAACCTGAGGAAGGGTTTGGGTGGGTTTCTTCCTTAATCACTTTCCATCTTACTTGATTTTTTTTCCCTACTGGCTTAACAAAGAGCTCACAAATTTGGTGAAGCTGAATGGCCAGTGAGCTCTAGAGATCCACCCCTCCTTCCTGTCAATGCTGGGAGTATAAGGTGTGTGCTGTTGTACCCGACATTTTATGTGGCGCTAGGGATCTGAACTCAGGATGTTATACTGTTGTGACAAGCACTTTAACCACTGAGCCAACAATTACTTTTTATTGCATAAATTAATGTCATTTTCAAAGGAGAAAATTAAGGATCATGGAAACTATGTGGAATAGTTGAGATGAGAAGCTATGTCTCACTTTTGCTCAGTGTTCTTTAACCAATACTAAGATGATGTAAGGCAAAAATATTTTGTGTACTCAGTGATGAAGGTATCAGTGGCGGTATCTTTATGGCTTTGTACCTTGAACTAAATGCAGTCATGATGCCAGATCAGTATTTAACCTTCTTAATTTGTATATAAATGAATGCTAACATTAAGGAAATATATAGTATGGTAATATAATCTTTGGAGGCATATTCAGGTTTCTTTGCCCAATGCATGAAAGTATTACATACTTAAGTAGTGTAATCTTAGTTGAGCACCATATATTGCTTTATGATTTGTTTAATTTTCAGTCACTGAGAACTGGACAGGTAGTTGGAACTGATTTTTTTCCCCCTGAAGGACTATTTTTGCAGTTTTAAATATAAGGAGAGAGGAAATACATGTTTTAGTTGCTGATAGCTATTTTACAAGAGTCTGTGCCTTGATGTTTAAGACCACATCTAAGGAGACAGTTAATGTTTTAACAGTTCTAAAAACAACATTCCAGAGAGGATAACATGAAGTGGAAAACCTTTGGCCTCCTTCCAGCTCGTCATCTGAATGTATTTTTTTCTAAGTCTTGTATCTGTGCTAATGAATGTTCCTGTAAGTTTCTAGTGTTGTTATTAATTTTTCACCATTAATCAATTATTCTCTGCTGAATGGTCAGAAAGCGACTCAAAAAACAATTAACTTCATTTCTTCCTTTACCTAATGATGAGGTATAAGTCTTTTGATCTTTTAAGGTTTTGTAGTGAACATGTTTATTTTTTAAGTTTTTCCTAATTTTTTATTGAAAATAGTTTTTTTTTTTACTATATTCTGAATAAGTTTTCCCTTCCCCTTATTTCTTAGATTATCCCCAACTCGCCTCCCATCCAAACCCATACCTCTCTCTTATTAGAAGACAAACAGGCATCTAAAAAATGATAATAAATAAAATAAGATAACCCATTTATTTTGATGGTACAAGTTGTATATAATGCTTTAGAGCTTATTGAAATTTTAGACTACAGATCAACATTCGGTACTTAATATAGATTAACTGCATCATATATGTGTGTGCCTGTATTTTTTCTCTGAGTTCTATTCCTTTGGGTAGAAACCTTACATAATAATAGCATAAAATATAATTTTCCAGATCACCATAATTCAAAGCAATGTTCATTGCATTATTGTACCATGACATTGAAAATATTTTTGAGAACAGCTGATATTTGTATTCTTAGATTTCAGTTATTTCTAGGTGCAGCTTCGTAATCCTCGAAGTTAAGTTTATAGTATATTTGTATCACAACTTATATGTGTTTCTTTTATTTATTTATTTTTTGAGAAAAAGTCTCTCTGTGTAATCCTGGTTGTACTGAAGCTTACTATGTGGACCAGTATGACTTTGATCTCATATAAATCCTCCTGTCTCTGCCTTCTGAGTGCTGGAATTAAATGTGTATGCCACACCTGGTCCCAATTTATATGTGTTTCTATGTTTAGGACATAATAACTGATATTTAATTTTCTATTGTTAAGGAAAAGAGAATAATATTTTAGAAAGATGAATGAATAATATTCTCCAATTTTGATTTTTGATCCTTTTTTGTCATATTGGGCACTGGGAATTAAACTCTGGGTCTTGGCACATGCTCTACAACTGCATTACACCTCCAATCCCAAGAGTATAATTATTTGGGGAGCATTTAATAAATCTTTCAGGTCATTTCTCTTCTGTTCAAACTATTGGAAGCAGCATTTTGAAATTTAGTTACTTACAAGCTGTGGAAGCTTGGGAATGTTCCTTGCCCATTCTGTGCCTCCATTTTATCAATTGTAAAATGGATATGACACTAGTGGCTACCTCATGGATTTCTGAAGGGAATTTGGTAGATTAGTATGTTAAAAGCACTGAGGATATTGCATAAATTAAGTGGAATGTTTGCTAAATAACCTTGCAGGAGTATAAAAAGGATCTCTTTCTTTTTCCTCCTTTTGTAAATTAGAAAGCAGACCGAGCAAAGAGATTTGAGTTTTTACTGAAGCAGACAGAACTTTTTGCACATTTTATTCAACCTTCAGCACAGAAGTCTCCAACATCTCCTCTCACCATGAAACTGGGACGTCCTCGAGTAAAGAAAGATGACAAGCAGAGCTTGATTTCTGCTGGAGAGTATGCATCCTTCTCTCGGCTTGCTTCCCCTCCCTTTCTGCCTCCCCTGTCTCATTCCATTTGCTCAGTATGACTGTTTTATAAATACGATTGTTGGCAATATAAATATGTCTTGGAGACAACAATATTTGCTTTTTCCTTACCAGAACTTAATTAGTTAAAAATGCAGACTGCTTCTTGCACATTCTGTGCCAGACAGTAGATAACACATTCCTTTTTCAGAAAAGATGTTAACAAACCTAACTTAGTTGGTGCCTCGGCATTGACGTTGAATGTGAAAGGTTTTGTTTTTTTTCTTTTCTTTTCACTTTAGCTATCGCCACAGGCGCACAGAACAAGAAGAAGATGAAGAACTGCTGTCAGAGAGTCGGAAAACATCTAATGTGTGTGTTCGATTTGAGGTCTCACCTTCCTGTGAGTACTTTATCACCGTCATGGTGCTTTTACAGTTCAGTTTGAGAACAACAAATTTCCTTGAGTATACTAGCGGAAGTATGAGAGGTTCTTCATTTCTTTTTTCAGATGTGAAAGGAGGACCCCTGAGAGATTATCAGATTCGAGGACTAAACTGGTTGATCTCTCTGTATGAAAATGGAGTCAATGGTATTTTAGCTGATGAAATGGTAAGGTGCTGGTATTTAAAGTATGTTCTGAGTTACTACAAGTTTTTAATGGAAATTTGAACCACCTGTGCCAGAGTTCGCTCAAACCCTATGTCTAGAAACTACATTTAGTGGCAAAATGATTTACCTTTTAGAGTTATTTATTTTCCTTTATGTGTGTGAAGTATGCCTGCCTGTATGTGCACCATGTGTTTGCAGTGCCCGGGGAGGTGAGAAGAGGCTTAAAATCCCCTGGAGCTGGAGTTATGGATGGTTGTGAGCCACCACATGAGGGCCAGGAATGAAACCCAGGTCCTCTGTCGGAGCAACAAGTGCACTTAACCTCTGAACTATGTCTCCAGCCTGCAAAAGAATGTTTGTAGTCTACAACTGTTCAAATAACCTCTAGAATATAGCCCTTTGCACAGCACAAAGATCAACGGAGATTTCCTGATGTGGTACAACACCTCTTTTTGCTTTTGCTTTTGCTTGCACTTTGGCTTCTAGGAAGCCCAGAGAAAAGTGCAATGTCAAAAGGAGCATCTCTTCACCCTTTAAGGTCTGCCCTTAGTGGTTTATTTCTTTTTCTTTTCTTATGCTTTACCTTCTAGTATAATTTTCCTCGATAACTTTTCATTTCTGTTTTGCCATTAATTTATGTTCCATGTTTTATATTAGGCAACCTGGCATCTTCTTGGGAACGAGGTAGGATATATAAATGAAGCAATAAGTAAATGAACGAATGAAGGAATTCATACATGAATGAATGTTGTCCTGTAACTCACTATGATAGGCCACTATTATATGGCCACAGACTAATGGGTTTCAATTCTTTTGGCTTAGCCTTCTGAGTGTTGGGATTATAGGCATAGCCACGATGTTCAGCTTCATTGTAGAGTCTCCATAAGAGTAGAGTGTCAAGTGGCAGTCTTTTGATAAGCTAATGAATCATGGTTCATGCATGTAAAATAACTGAAGAAAAAGTAAGATCATACAAGATGCTAATTGAGTAGATGAGGGGATTATATGAAGGCTCAGATTTGTATTTTAAGATAAAATGAATAAAATTAAAGAGATGACAGAGAGAGTTATAGACCTATGTAACCCAATAATATAGTATTTATAAGACTCAGGAGCCATGTTTTCAATCATTATTCCCCAGAAGGCCAAGTGACAAAATGCATTTTATGACATTTAGTCAATTCCATAGGCACTCATCATTGGCTGAGCAGCTATTAGTTGTGTGGCAGAGCATAATTTTTTTTAAGGAAGGGTCAGTAGCTCCTTACATTTACATTATTCTATTGAGGGCCATATTCAGTTCAGAAGGAGAGGGCCTTGGTTTGTCTCTCACCAGAAGGACCAGGATGGTTCAGCCTAAGAATTTCTTGGCTACAATCTGTCTAAGACAAATGATGTAAAGATCCTTCAAGATTCTGCTGATGCCAGATTTGTTTTAATTTTGTCTTATATTTTATTGTCTTTTTAAATTTCTTTTTCCTTTTCCTTTCCAGTACTGGAACTTAGACCTAGGGCCTTGTGTGTACTAGGCAAGCAGTCTATCACCATGTTACACACCAATCCCTTTTATATGTTTTGTTTTGAGATAAAGTCCCATTATGTGGATCAAGTTTTGAACTTGTGATTCTCCTGCTTCCATCTCCCTAGTAGCTGAGATTACAAGTGTATACCCTCATGTCCAACTTGTTTTAATTAACGAAAGAGAGGAAGACATTTTTGAGAATATACGCAATTTAGAAAATAAAAAATATTTTTAAAAATTAAGTAATCAAGTAATAGTAATTCTGCCATTGAGAAATAACTACAGTTGACATTTTGGCATGTTTCTTTTTAAACTGTTTTTTTCTAGATGTATAGTTGAGATCATATTGTATGTATAATTTGGCATTCTGACTTCTTCACATTCATATGTATTTTTCATATCATTAAAACATTTTGTCAAAGTAAGTTTTTACTGTCTAATAGTCTTCAGGAGGTACCATTGTTTCTGCCTACTCTTCTCTTGCTGCTGCTGCCCTTTGGATTGTTAGCTGTGCAGTAGAAATAGAGCCTCTGTGACAATCTTGTTCTTAGTTTTTTCTATTCCTCTCAGATTGTTCTTATAGGGCTCCTGGAAGTGGCATTATTTTCTTAAACATTTTAAGGTTTTGGTGGATATTGTCCATAACAATCCATCTTAAGTGACTTGCCAGATAAGATATAGCCCATAAAAGTGACATTTAGCTTAGATTTACAGAGTGAAGTTCTGTGCTTTGCTTAGAGATAAAGGCATCAAGCTGCTTAATTATTTAGTGTTTACTTTTACTCATGAGGCTGGGATCAAACCCAGGACTTCATACTAAGCAGGGGCTCCCCACTGAGCCACACCCCAACTCTTGTTTTAAAAAGCTGACTTTAAAAGGCTGGACAGCATACTGCATAGTTACCTTTCCCATGGGCTAGATGGCAGGTTCACGGGTGTTTGATATATAACTTTAAAAAGCACACTGTGCTAGGTGATCTCTAAGGTCTTTTCTCACTGCAGTGCTCTGTTCCTTTTTGATTCCTAAGGTCATTAAGGGTGTGAGGTGTAAGTAGACAGCTGTGAGCCTCTTGAGATGCACAGTCTGAATATTTAATACCTGGGCTGGAGTTATTTTGGGGACAATAGGAAAGGAAGGTCACTATCTCAGCAGGTTCTAGAAAGAAGTCTTTTTTTGTGAATCATACACCTCAAAATCCCTAGTTTTGCACCTACTAGAAGAGATTACATAATCAGTTTACTTGCTCCTAAATAGAGTCAACATATCCCAAATGGAAAGGTAATTTATTGCACAATAATTTGACTACAGATTGTTGGTTCTTTTCCTTCCCACTCATGACAAATACTGAATTGAAATGGTTTTCTGTCTTTCTTCTTAAAAAAAAAAGTCCCTTCTTACTTTTCGTTGGTGGAAACCTAATTCCCAATGCGAGGTAGTTGGCAACTATTTTTTGAGTGTTGTGTCTAAGAAATGATTTCATTAACAAAGTGTATTTGTGTGTCTTTCCCCTTGTGACGATGATGCAGGGTCTTGGGAAGACTTTACAAACCATTGCTTTGCTTGGTTACCTGAAGCACTACAGAAACATTCCTGGACCCCACATGGTTTTAGTTCCAAAGTCTACGTTACACAACTGGATGAATGAATTTAAACGATGGGTTCCATCTCTCCGTGTTATTTGTTTTGTTGGAGACAAAGATGTAAGAGTAAGTTGAGAAACAGCTTTCAAAAGGCTGTCAAGAAGACCATTTCTAGACAGCAGTTGCATAATGTGTCTGTTAAAGACACTTAAGTCAGCTACTAAATAACACTCTGGTTGTACTGACTTTGAGCTAGGTTCTGTTGTATTGTGCACGTATTAACTTATTTAGTTTCCACATTTGTGAACCGTGTTTATTTTTAGATAGTAGGTACTATTAGCAGCCCCATCATTTGTGCTGTTTTGGAGGCAGGAATTGGAATGAATTAAATCTTGCTGAAGTTTTGGCTTGCTTGGTGCATTCACACACTCATCCACACACAGAAATCTTCTGTGGCTGCAGAGAACCTTACCATTCTCTCTTTAATCAAGACTTTGTAACACGTCTGTATATATTCTCAGATAATACCAGACATTTGGATTTTGGCAGGGGAGGGGAGAGGTTATTTAAATTAGCTATTTGTCCAGTTAGTAAGCTATAATTATTTTAGGACTGTAGAATCAATCAAAAAGTAATAAATTATGCAAAAAACACAAAAAGAATAATTTGCTTAGAAAGCATATTACTGAACTTTGTCTTTATTTTGCCCCCAGAGAACACAGTTTAAAAGAAAAGTTTATACTATTTTACATATTTAGATTAGATGGATTGTCAAGAGACACTCTCAGTGGAACAGTACCATAATGAATTATGTAATTTTATCATTATCATTTTGCTTGAAGAAAACTTACTTCAATTTATTTAAATTTAACTTATAAATAATTTAAATATTGAAATACTGAGTTCATAAATTTAGAATCACAAGGTTGATTCCTCCCTAAGTCTACTATTTCTCCATAGCAAATTGGTCACTTAGAACTCTTTTCTGATTATTGCTATTACTTAATATAGTACTATTGCTTACAAAATTGCATTTCTAAGATATTGATACTTTATTAAAATTATTTCTTGAAGATTATAAGTAAAAGAGCAACATACAGGCTTGGATTTTCACAGTGCAATAGTAAAATTGTATTATTTTTTTTAGATAGGCTCTCACTATTGAGGCCTGGCTGGCCTGGAATTCACTATGTAGACCAGGCTGGCCTCAAATTCACCTCCACCTACCTCAGCCTCCAGAGTACTGAGATTAAAACTGTGAGCCACCATGCCCAGTATATAAAAATATAAATCAATGGCTTTTAATATGATACATAGAATCTAAATGTTTCATGAAATACCACTGGGAGTTTTAAAGAGATGGGGGGTACTTTAATTATAACTTCTCTGCCTCTTGGGAGGCTGGGATTGTGCTAACTTGAACAATCTCTTAGTCTATTAGCCAGTCTATAAAGTCAGTATTTTACAGATTGTGAGTCATCATCCATGAATAGGTTGTGGTTTCATCTTAGTTGATAGTGTCAACAAGTTTTAAAACACCAGGAGGGAATAGCAGAGCAAGCAAGCAGAGTTTCATACCACGGCAAACAAAAGTGTTGCTTTAATAAATTGTTTAAGTTGCTTCTTGGATACACACACTCAAACATCTATCCATATGTTGGGTCACAAGTTAAATGCAGTTTATTATGGTTCATCATTAAAATTTTCAAAACCAGGAGTTATCAATCACATAAGTAATTAATGTGCTAAATTCAGTTCTTAGAGATTGATGTTGATGTATCTAAAATTCCAGATGATCATTTGTAGACCCATTCGAACCTTGGAATCATATGGGATACATGTGTTGACCCTCCTATTTTTGTGGCTTTCTGTAAATAACTTAGGAGGCCAATATTTAATAATGAAAAATTTAATTTCTGTAAAGGCATTTGAATTGTGAAGTTGTTAGAGATATCCTTGATCCTGTCTGTACAAAGAGAGATGCTCTTGATCCTGACTGATATAAAGTCATCTTGAAGTCTATTGCCTTTTCTTTGTCTATCACAGAGGAATCCATATCTAGTGGACATGGAAACAGATATGGTCCTAATTCCAACATCACTACTGATTGTGAAGTTATGAATGAGTTTCAATGTGCATTATTTTAATACTAGCAAAAGGAGAGCTTTTGGGTCATGTGGCTTTCAGGATTTTATCAAAATATCTAACTCTTAATCTGCTCAATAATTTCATAAGTTCTAAACGCCAGTTAAGCTAAATAAAAATAAATCCCAATTCAATGGAACTCTTGAGAAACCATGAAATGGAATCTTTCAGTCAATGAAACAAGGATAAGGTGTTAGTAGAAATCAATGGGATCTGGTATCCAGCCTGCCCCCACCAATGTTCTAATATTTTAATTGCCTTTTAAAATGTGACAGCTTCTCAGCATATGACTGAGGTGGCTACAAAGCTATTTTTCTGTCCTCTGTGTTAGTCTAGGAAACCTGTTAATACATACTGAACACTTGTAAATATTTTTTTTTGTTTTGTTTTTCGAGGCAGGGTTTCTCTGTGTAACTTTGCGCCTTTCCTGGAACTCACTTGGTAGCCCAGGCTGGCCTTGAACTCACAGAGATCCACCTGCCTCTGCCTCCCGAGTGCTGGGATTAAAGGCATGCGCCACCACCGCCTGGCTGTAAATATTGTTGAATGAATCAAAAATATGTTTGGTGCATATTTATGAATTAAAAAATAGAGACTTTGCCATAACCCATTGATTTTGATTTAGGCACTGTAACTCTGAAGTTACAGTACCAAATCGTTTTAGATTTTTTTTTTCTGCTTCATTTAACACTTGGTCATTTTACTTTGGCCTATAACATCTGGAATGAAGTTTGTACTAGTTAAAGATGCTCTCAGTCAAGCTGGCTATCATGTTGGTCACTGCCTGTGAATATTTAAAAATTGTTGTAGTGTCACTGTTTTTTACTGCTTACGTAGAGAAGAGTCCCTTTATGAAACCATATCTGTAGCCTTATAATAACATTTGGGACTTCACAAAAAATATTAAGGAGCTTCTGGGACTCCTTACTAAATTACACAATTCTTTTCTACTGGAAATGATAGAATTTATAAGATGTTGCCAAAGTTGGGAACTGTTACTATATGTTAAGTACTTTTGTTCAGTAAATTAGATTATGTTAGTAGTGCTTGAATCTTTGTAACACTAAGGTGTTCAGTTATTTCATCCATGTCCTTTTGGACCTCTCGTGATATAAAGTGATCTGGTTCATATAACGTGTGAGCTTTTGCTTTTCTTTTGTTGATAAATATGTTCTCAGCATAGCCAAATTATTGACCACAAAGTTATTTTGGGCCCTGATTTTTCTATCTCTCAACTGAGCAAGATAAAATGTGCTCTGTGATGTCCCATACAACTCTTAATATTCTCCAGACAGTTTACTTTGATGATCACCTTGTCAACATAATGTAATGTAGAACACTTTATTTTCTATTAGGCTGCTTTTATTCGTGATGAAATGATGCCAGGAGAGTGGGATGTCTGTGTGACTTCTTATGAGATGGTAATTAAAGAAAAATCTGTGTTTAAAAAGTTTCATTGGAGATACTTAGTCATTGATGAAGCTCACAGAATAAAAAATGAAAAATCTAAAGTAAGTTCTTAATATCTTTATTCAAGTTTTCATTTACTTTGTAGGCTCGTTTGTTCACTTTTCTGTGTTTAAAATAAAAACAAAGCACTAGAAGATTGTGGTTTTATTCACAGAATGTGAATGATAATCATTTTTAAAGTGCCCATAAAGGCTAAATTATTGAGTAAAGGACCAATAAAAGTTGAGCATCGATTTTAATGCAAATTAGGTAATTATTTGCAATCTCTCCTGTTGCAGCCTAACTCGGCCATGCTACATTATTTTAATATTGCTGAGACTATTTGGTGTACAAATATCATTTGCATTGACTTATTTTTTTTATTGAGAAATTATGTGTATTCCTATGGATTAGAAAAAAGAATTTCCTGGAATTATCTGACTTATGGGAATTAGAGTCTGGTGTTAACATTGAAAAGTATCAATTATTTGTTGCCATTCAACTTCATCAACAGTAGGAAAAACCTCACTTATAATGATGAACCTATCTTTGGATCACTGGGCTACTTTGGGAGAAACAGGGACAGAACTGGAGCAAAACCACCAGGTGGAGCATACTAATTTCACGTTGGAACTAATACTTGATAAGAGGACTCATGTTAAAGCATAATTGCTTCATTAAGAGCATTATCAAAATAGGAATTTTCTAAAATTACTGATTTTATGTTTTTGTCATTGTTTTGTGGTCTTAAACTTGAAACGTTAATACATAGTACCAGTGAAAATGAGCTCAATTCTGGTGCTGAATAATTGTGGCCAGGTCGAGCTGGAGCTTAACTATGCGTGTAGATGAATATGGTTGGTGGGGAGATTTTGTTATATAAAGTGGTAGCTTGGATTCCATGAAAGAAGTGTGATTTTCTGAGACCCCATTGGAGAAACTAAAATGTTTCATGATGGGGGAGGGATTTCAGATATAAATATGATTTGTATTCTTTCACATGTGAAAATGTCTAGGATATTAGTGTGCAATGCCACCTGAACTAGGATATTTTTCCATAGGAAGTTAATTTTCAAGGCTTAGTGTATCACAGACGTGTTTAGTGAAGTATATAACTGAATGCTGAACATACTAAGAACCAGAACAATGCTTATGTAACTATGATATGTATATACATATATTCTTTTTTTAGCTTTCAGAGATTGTTCGTGAGTTCAAGTCCACTAATCGCTTACTTCTAACTGGGACACCTTTGCAGAATAACCTGCATGAACTCTGGGCTTTACTTAACTTTCTATTACCGGATGTCTTTAATTCTGCAGACGTAAGTTTAAAACAGAGTATTTGTGTGAGGTGTAGTGGTGCTCAGGGTTGTACCCAGGGTGCTTAGCTGATACTTTACTACTGGTCTCCAATCCCAGCTCCAAATCATACATCTTAATATATTTTCCTAATGTTCAGAATCATTTATGCTCACCTCCTCCCTCTCTCCCTCCCTCCTTTGCCCCTCCCTCCCTCCTTCTCCCTTCTTTATTATTATTGTTGTGTGTGCATAATGTGTATATGTATGGATATGAGAAGATAACTTGATCAAGTCACTTCTCTCTTTGTACCTTTATGTGTGTTCTCAGATCAAATTCATGTTGTTATGCTGACCCTGTGAGCCATCTTGCTGGCCTGAGGCATCTGTTTTCAAAGTGTAGAAAATAGGCTAAAATTTACACTTTTTTCATTTGTGATTCTTCATTTGTGTGTTTTAGTTTTCTCAAGAAAGAATAAGAAAGCCCCAAAATTTTAGAGTGAGCATATTTTGGGAAATAGTGTATTTCTATTCTTTCTAATTATTCTGTCATTTTGCCTGTATCGCGTTGTTACCACACTTATAAGATAGACTGAATCTAGAGTAGTATGTTCAACCTTTTCATTAAATTTAAAAGACTTATTCAAGGATTTTAAGGCTTAATTTTTATATCCTATTCTTCTTGACTAGATGCAATGTTGTGTGATATAGTGAAGACCACTATACATTTTCGAAGGTGATAGTGATCCTTTATATTGTCATTAAAATTTTGTCACCAGTTGCAGTATTCCCACCGATGATAAAAGTAAAACATACAGCTATCACAATGACATGTTTTGAAAGTACTTTTAAAGTGGATTATTTCTACGTTGGTTGTATACAAATATATAGAGTACTGAGTTTATCTTAAAAAATGCATGTACTTATTGTAGAATTTTCACCCTTCCACAGGACTTTGATTCTTGGTTTGACACTAAAAATTGCCTTGGTGATCAAAAACTTGTGGAAAGACTCCATGCAGTAAGTAATAGTAGTCAAAAAATCAATAATACATTTAATGGAATATAATTGAGCAGAAAATAAACATTCACAGACTCTGAGCTTGTGGGCTTCCTGCTCGCTTCAGTCCCCTTGTGTCTTCCTTGCAGCCCTTTTAAGAGCCCTGTGGTCAGCAAAGCTCTCTTAGGCCTCTCCAGAACAACTTTTTCTTTTGGTCTCCATGATCCTGTGGTCCTTCCTTGTGGGCCCTCTTTACTCTCTCATCCTCAAATCCTCCAGATGGCATCAGTATTCTTCTTGCTTCCCAGTGACCCTTCTGAGTCACCGCTGCTGCTCCACTGTATGTATAAACCTCTGCTATAGAGTCCTGAGCCCTCTCTGGTTCCATCTTCCACACACTGTCTTCTCTGTTAACTGTTTATCTACAGATTCCCCATATTTATTTGGTCAACATTTTCAATTCGTTGATAAACACTTAGATCCATATATTACTCATCCCATTTCTTCTGTAGTATGACAGAGACCTCCTGTCCCCAGATCCCTACTTCTCCAGTGTATCAATCTGAAAAACCATTTTCTATCACTCAGATCACATTTTTGTTAGTACTGTCAGGCCTTTTTGCACCCTTACTCCTCTGCTACACCTGTCCTGACAACTCCCAACTGTAATAAAGTAATGCTCTCTGTCTCCTGCATTTCAGTTTTGCTGTTGCCCTGTATGAGCATAGTGAGTGTTTTTGTTGTACTGGGACTTCTCAGTACTGACAAAGACCACTCTACAACTCTACAGGTAGGAACTACTATGATTTCATGTTACCTAGGATAAGCTGGAAATTCACGGTACTGACTCCTTCAATATGACCTTATCCAGCCTTCTTTCTCCTTTCTTCTAACAGCTGATTCAGATCTCTCCAACCTTGAGACTTCTAGCTCAGGTATCTCTTGCCCTCCACCTCTCTCAGTAGGTAGCACTATTCTTTTCTGAATGGCAAAATGGAAGTCTTTAGGTAGGAATTCATTCATGTAGGTCTGTCTTCCAAAGCTATGTACATTTTGATTAACCAGCTGCCTGAGTGAAGCATTATCTTTTCTCTGCTCAATGGCAAATTCTTCCATGTGAACTCTGAATATCATCATTTCTTATTTCCTTATGGACTTTACCCCATAGTTTTATTCTTATAACTGGTTAAATTTTCTACTTCTCCCTCTGTATTGTCTCCTTTCCCTCAATACATAAACATGCTTAGGTAGCTACCTTGAGGTTCTTGAGAAGATGTTTTTGAGTTATAAAAGATAATAAAAGGGTTATAGCCCATTGTGCAAGGGCTCTGATTTTCCAAACCCATACCTATCTGACCTAATGCACGCGCACGCGCGCGCACACACACACACACACACACACACACACACACACACAGTGAGAGAGAGAGATCACCTATCAATCAATCAATCAATCAATCAATCAATCAATCAATCATCTATCCATCTGTGGGAGGTCCCTGCAGGATTTCCAGCTGTCAGGGAAAATGATCCAGATGAGGGAAGAATGAAACTCAGTTCAGCCCGATTTAGGTAACTGGTGCTAGGTCAAGAATTCTTAGAGTCTGACATCAGCTTGTTTACTTTTACCATATTTAAGCATAACACAATTTTGGAAAAAAATTTTGATAACAATTAACTCAGCTCCATGAGTACAACAAAGCTTAAGACACATTTGCATTGAAGCTCTTTACAACGTACATATGGCTTTGCCTGTAAGATGGATTCTTTTGACTCAGAAACAGTGCTCAAGAAAAGGGTCTAGGGAGAATGACTGATGTAAACATAATCCCTGTGGGAGTCAGGATTTGGTCTGGCCCTGAGATAACAGAAATCACTTAGGCTGTTGTAAAGTATAAATGACATCTCCCACAAGGATGAATTTTATGGCCTAGAAGTAATGCTCAAGGTTTTAAGGGTCTGAGATAAGTAAACCATAATTCTAGAAGATATGGGCAGAGCCTGACTCATCAGACAGCAAAGGATTACCAGATTGCAAACTGCATGCATTCCCAGCATTCTAGGAGGAGGAGGATAGGTTAAACATCTCTTTCCTTTAAAGGATGCCTATGATTTTAGCTTCCTGGCTTCTTCAGTGTTTATCTGTGTACACAAACACTTTTTGCCCCATCCATCCATCCATCCATCCATCCATCCATCCATCCATCCATCCATCAATGCTCCCTCAACTTTGGGTTCTTAACTATGATTTTCTTTTCTTGACAGCCAACTTTCTTGAAAGAGTAGTTTACCTCTACATCTTCACTGCCTAACCTATTTGCTGATAAAGCCATTGATCATTGATGTCTCTCCATTCCATATGAGTGAAACCTATTTTACATAGTTTTCAATGGATTTTCAGTTGCTAAATTCAGGATATACAGGTAGTAATTAGCGCTAATAATCAGTATTGGAAACTACTTGTTTTCTCTGGAGATCCACTCCCATGGTTTCCCCTACCTCAGCCTCTAAGTGTCAAGTTCACTTCTCCCAACTATCTTGTAAAATCTATATAGTACCTCTCCTTTAGCTACCATTTTGCTTTCTACATTTCAGTTATCCATAGTCAATCATAGTCCAAAAATATAGAAAACCATAGAAATGAAAACAATGATTAATCTCTATGCATGAACTCCCACTAGTTTCTGTACCAATCTTGGAAGTGAGTATTATTATCCTTAGTACAAAATACTTTCTGCTATTGAAAGAGAACATAGTCATGTGACTTATATTGCTGTATTATATTTGTTCTATTTTATTATTATTATTTTTTCCATATTTCTGTGCTGTATTTATAAATTAAAATTATCATAGATATACATGTATGAGACATCATATTATATATATATGTATATGATTCTATATAACTTGCTATTTTGAGAATCTTCTAGGGATCTTGGACTCTGTTTTCAATGGGACAACAGGAGACTATTGACATTTAACTTTTTACTTCATTCTGGGTTTTTTTTTTTGCCTCAAAATCTTACAGACAGCTTAAATGCTTAATAAACTTTTAGATAACTTAAGATGCTCAAATCAGAAACCAACAGTCTTATATATAGATATCTAATAATAATGGCTACAGCTTATTGCATGTCAACCACAAATAATCTCTTTACATGAACTACCACAAATTTCTATAGCAGCCTTGGAAATAGTTATTATTATTTTCAGTGCAAAATACATTAAAATATACATGCTGAAATATTTTGTAGATAAAAGAAGAAATAAACTTGAAAAAAATTAAAGTCGAGTGTTTAATTCTGCTTCTACTTGTTAGCATAGTGAGTTTGGTGAACTTAGTGAAATAGAAATGATCATATTCAGCCAGGTGGTGATGGCGCACGCCTTAATCTCAGCACCCGGGAAGCAGAAGCAGGAGGATCTCCGAGTTAGAGGCCAGCCTGGTCTACAGAGTCAGTTCCATGACAGAGGAACCCTGTCTTGAAAAACCCCAAAGCCAAAACAAAAACTAAAACAAACAAATAAACAAAAACCCCCAAAACCCCAACAAAAAAGGAAATAATCATATTTAGCACTGGAGAGATGGCTAAGCAGTTAAGAGCGCTTGTTCTCGTGTAGAGAGGACTTGGGTTCAGTTCCCTACATGGTTGCTCACAACCGTCCATAACTCCATTTCCAGGGTTATATGATGCCCTCTTCTGGCCTCCATGGGCACCAGGCACACACATGTTGCACATATATACATAAAGACAAAACATGCATATTAAATAAGATAAATAAATCTGAAAAAATCGAGAAAAGAAATAATCATATTCCCTTCAATGATTTCCTATAAGGATTTAACTACGACCTATAAAGTTAATGGTGCAGTCTTTGGCACGTTGCTGGTAGGTACTCCATGAATTGCAACACCATTATTTTCTTGCGACAAAAATCTGTGTTTCTGGTATACACTAATTACCTTTTATTTGTATTCATTCGTGTCTTAAAAAAACATTGAAATCTTTTCTTCTCATTCATTTAATTACTTTAAATGACTTGAATTTTAATTTTATTTTGAGGGAAACTGAAACTCTCATTTTCTATTTTCCCTATGTTAAAAAGTCTTGTATTAAAAGCAGTATTTAAAGCAAGACTTCTTCATTGATTATTCAATAGACAATGGTCTTGTCTTAATTTTTAGCTTAATTTTTCCTGTCAACTAATGAACGTTTAAGTTTCCTCCCTCATTTTTAGAGGGTCTGGGAACTGAGCCCAGAGTCTTGTGAATGCTGAACATTTACTCCTTTTTTTTTTTTGAGCAACCCCAACCTCCATTTTGATGTTTTTTTCTTCCAAGACAGGGTTTCTTTGTGTAGCCTTGGCTGTCCTGGAACCTGCTCTGTAGACCAGGCTGGCCTTGAACTCACAGAGATCCCACCTGCCTGTGCCTCCCCAGTGCTGGGATTAAAGGTGTATCATTCCTATTTTCTAAGGAGTCATTTTTTGGTGGTTATCTACTGAGTAATTAGGCTACTGTTGGTTTTTGTTATTGTTGTTGTTTGTTAGATTATGTATTAGGATGAAAGTTTTAACAGTTGATTAGTATTAGTGAAATACACAATTTGAAATTGTGAATGCTTTATGTGCTTTTATAATAAACATTGCTTTTTAGGTTTTAAAGCCATTTTTGTTACGTCGTATAAAAACTGATGTAGAGAAGAGTCTGCCTCCCAAAAAGGAAATAAAGATTTACTTGGGACTGAGTAAAATGCAACGAGAATGGTGAGATATTTTATATCCATTAGCATTGATTTATATATAAGAATTTATTAAAAATCACATTTGTTGATTGTTCAACATGATAATTACATTTTATACTGAAATGGTAAGTTATGCTGATCAAATATTCTATTAGAAAACTGTTGTGTTTTATTTAAAACTTAAGTTGAGATTGCTTTTAGCTTCAACATGAATATAGCTCAAACAAGTCTGCTGTAAACTTTCAGCAAATATTGTAGTTAGTGGATAATTGTCAGATGTAGTTACTGGAGCCATTAATAGTTGATGACAATTTCTAATAATGGATGTAGTATAGGGACATATGTCCATAAGCAATATATAAGTAAGTAACATACAAAACAAAACATTCAAATCTTTAATTTCTTGTTTTTTTCAGATCATATTTTCTTTCAAATCCAAAACTTTTTTATCTTTTGGGATTGAACCCAGGGCACTGTGCATATTAGGCATGCATTTTACCATTGAACAATACCTCCGGCCCTCACACCAAATCTGCTTTTATGTACTTTATTCCTATTTAATAGGAATTTAACGGCAATGCTAGTAGAACATTTATTTATGGCATTAAGTGTTCTTAAAATTGATTAATTATGGTTTAACATTTTAGGTATACAAAAATTCTGATGAAAGATATTGATGTTTTAAACTCTTCTGGCAAGATGGACAAGATGCGACTCTTGAATATTCTGATGCAGCTCCGAAAGTGTTGTAATCACCCTTATCTATTTGATGGTGCAGAGCCTGGTCCACCTTATACGACAGATGAACACATTGTCAGCAATAGTGGTAAAATGGTAGCTCTGGATAAGCTATTGGCAAGAATTAAAGAACAAGGTGAGTGAGGGATTTTTTTTATTAGCATGGGATAAATTAACAATAATAGTTTGTGTGTGAATAAAATGTTTTGTATTCATTCATCTACTTGGTTAGTAGACATTCTTGAGTACTTCCTGTTTGTCAGGAACGGTCCCACAGGCTAGGAATGCAAAGATGAATATGATAATGGCCTTGCTTGGAAGAGACTCACAGTGTAGTGAGGAAGAGGAGCTGCAACTCATTGTTCTAAGTGTACTTCATTGTGCTGTTGAGAAACTGGGGATTGGGAATGTCTTCACAGTGGTGATGTTTGAAATGAAGACTGGGCAATGTAGGTAGGTGTGAGCCATTGGTAATGGGAGGGGAGTGCTTTTGTAGGGCAATGCAACAGGTGTGAAAGAAGGCAACACAGCAGAGGAGTTTATGGTATATGAGGTAGAATGGCATTTGGTGAAGTTGATGAGGATAGATGGTACCAAATTATGCAAGGTCTTTAAAACCATGCTTCAAAAGTTGTTTAGACTTCTATTTTGGATGTAGAGGAGTTACAGAGGACTTAGTGGCAGGAAGTAACATGAGCAGAATTGTATGTCAGGAAGATAATGTTGGAAGCATTTTGTGGGAAATTTACTGGAAATGAGAGAGTAAAACCAGGAGACAAGATGGAAGACAGTTGCGGTAGTAGTCCAGTGAGAGATTATATGGACCATTGTAGATCCTTGGGATAAAGACAAGGCAAGAATCTTAGTCACGGTAGTGTGTGTGGAAAATTTTTGAAGACTGAATGAAAACCTTGCAGTTCAACAAATACACAATAATGTGTAACATTCTTTTTTTTGGTGTGCTTCTTGTTCATGTGTCATATGATTTAGATTGTTTATGATGCTTTATTTTTATTTTGACTTTCAAGGTAGCATATATTATTTGCACAAAGATAATGTGTTTCATTATGGCATTTGACACTTTACACAAGTCCTGTAACTCAGTTTTCTGATGAAACATTTTAGGGTCAAGAGTTCTCATTTTTAGCCAGATGACTCGGCTGCTGGACATTCTGGAGGATTACTGTATGTGGCGTGGTTATGAGTATTGTCGACTGGATGGACAAACCCCACATGAAGAGAGAGAGGTGAGGACAAGAAATGAAGCAAGACTTTGAAAATCAGAGTTTAGTTGCATAATACGTTAGCAAGTTGTTTTAAGCTTTGGTCTGGTCTACTTCTAGGTGGTACTGAATTTCTCTCTGACATCATGATCTTTCTTCCATATTTATCTTCCATTCCACCAATTTTTCCAAATCATCCCAAGCTCTTCAAAGATATTCTTTTCTAAGAACACTGTCTGATTCCATCTTCATCTCTTTTAGCCACTGCCCCATTGATTACTGTTTGTCAACTTACCTTCTGACTTCTAACTATGTGTTATTTTCTTTTCTTGTCCCCCACTGTAGACCCTTGCCATTTATGGAGTTTAATGGTGGACATTTTGCTAATTTATGATTAACTAACTTTAATATTGAGTTAAGAAACAGTCTTGGCTTTGGTGGGCTTTTGTAAAAATGAAGTATGATAAAATTGGTGTAGGTACTTATGAGTTTGGCATTTTAGGACACTAAAATGTTGGTTTGTAAGCATGAGTAAGCACACCTACCTATCACCCAATGTCTTCTTCAGACTTGGAAATACTTGTAAGTCTTTATTATTATTATTATTATTATTATTATTATTATTATTATTATCCATTAGGCATTTAAAACTCATTACATTACTTTGTTGATGGCTTTGCTAATTCTTTTTCTCTTTTCTGCAATCCTTAAGGTCTCTGTCTTTGGTTTCTTTTTTAAGTCAATACTCATGTTCTGGCCCAAAGAACAAGATTTTATGATACAGTGGAAAATATACAGAACTTGGTTTGAAGACCTGACTTTTAGCACTAACACCATCACTTTCTTGTGTATACAGATCATTTAAATCTGTGAGCCTCAATATCTTTAATATCATAAAAATAAAATGAATACTAAATGCTTATTCCTGATGACACTGTGAAGACTAGGGGATATAGTAGGTACAAACAGTTTAAAAATACACAGTGCACTATATATTGCGAGCCATGAAATTGCACACAGTCTTTGTATCTGTTCAGGGCACCTTCTCAGGCTGTAGGAATCTCAGCCCATGTCCCTCTCTTTCCACAGCTGCTTCCTTTGCCTCTCATGCAGCCCTTATTGAAGCCCGGGTATCACACAGTATAGTGTTGCCAACAGCACACAGACCTCTGTATTAAGGGTTTTCTGCTACCTGTTGAAAGGAAACAGTTGTGATAACCTTTACACATAAAAGAATGTTTAAATGCTTCAATTATTTCCCACTTTATAGTTTTAAGTCCTCTAAGACAGTTACTTGAAACTTTTGTTGACTTAGTCCTGAGAACCTCTTCCTTCATTAAGCATAGCACCTCTAGTACAGTTCAAGGTAATTGACTCTTCTTGCTAGAATGAAGAGGATACCAAGGCAGAATTTAGTAGGTATTATCTGACCTCAAAATGCCAGTTGTCACTTCTGACCTACCTCCCTGTTCATTACCTAGTGATGTGGAACAACAACAACTTCCTTTTTTCCTTCCTCCTCCTCCTCTTCCTCCTCCTCATTTTCCTCCTCCTCCTCTTCCTCCTCCTCATTTTCCTCCTCCTCTTCTCTCCAAATTGTTCTCCATTCAAAGATTTTGAATTACGTGCATCAAATTTAAATACAGAGAAGTCAGAGCCATTCTTTCTTTTCCCTGGGAGATGTCCTGTTTATGTTTTCATTCATATAATAATTTCAAGTCTTTCCTAATACATTTTATTCTTTACTCTGTGTACCAGCAGTAGAGATTCCCCCCACCCCCACCATTAATAGTTCTGGATTCACCCTTTCCCTAAGGATAAATTAAGCTATCTAGGCCTCTAGTCATCCTCTGACTTAACTGGCCTCACTTTTGTAGGGAAAGGGGTTAACATTTATAAGCAGCTATTATAAGCCAAGCACCTTGAGGTTCCAAATGATTCTCCCAGTAGTCTGGGTAGGGTACTGATAGGATTTTTGTCACATGAAATTGAGTCTCAGAGAAGTTAAAGGCTCGTGTCTCAGATGTATACACATGGCTAAGTTGTGCTTCACTCCCAAGCTTTTTGCTATTTCCTCTACACCAGGGTGCCTGTCACCAACCTTATTAATACTACACGGTTTCATGCTCTACTGATTGTGGTAATGCTGGTCACCTTGTCTATCTAGGACTTAGATTATATTTGTCTATTGCATTAAAAATATATGTGCATTTTGTGACTATATAAGTAATATATGAGTACTGAGGGAGATTTGCAAAGTCAATTTTCTCTGGGAAATTTTTATGAGAAATAATATGTAAGAAATTGATACCATACTATATATATGCTCTATATAAAATTCACTATCCTGGTACTTTTAATCAAGATTATATTGTGCTTTGTCAGTAAGAATATCATTATAAATAGTTTTAGGAAAATATTTAACCTTAACGATGTACTCTATGTAATATGTCCCCTTATTGGTGATGATTTAGGTTGTTTCCAGTTTTTTCACTGTTGTAAATAATGCCACAGTGAAGGTCCTTATACATAAATCTTGTGCACATCTCTGATTATTTCCTTAGGATAAGTTCCTGGATGTGGAATTACTGGGTCAAAGGGTATGAACATTATTAAGGCTCTTGGTGCATGTTGCCAAATTGCTTTCCAGAAAGATTGTTCCAATTTACACCCCCAGAAGCAATATCCCTCTGCTCCCTCATCAACATTGAGTATTATCATTTTTTTTATCATTAAAAATGTCATTATATTATTTGTTTGCATCTATTTGATTACTAGTGAGAAATGAACATTATTCTTGTTTTTTATATATATATATATATTTGTATATATATGCATTTATTCTGAGTTGAAGTTGTTCACTTTTCAGGTTCCTTTTTCTACTGGAGTCAGCATTTTCCTAATTAATTTCTATCAGATCTTTGTATAGAGGATATTAACAATATATTAATTTTTAAGTTTCTTTACTAAATATCCCTGGACATGTCATTCTGATTTTCCCTATCATTATAGTGTTATTGATCATCTTACTCTCATTTGCACTTCTCAACTTTTCTCTCTCTTGATTAATCCTTGTCACATCTTATTTATCTGTCCTCAGAATGATATTGATGTTTCTGTCATTTTACTCGAAGATGTATTTCAGCTCCTAATCAATTAGAACAGTTTTACTATTGTTTTCAAAGAATGCAAATGAATTATTATTTGTTTAGTTAAACTTGTTTGTATGATTGCTCTATATTTGTCTCTATTGGTTAACATTTACAAACTTCATTTATAAAAACATCTTTTCTCCAGCTACTTACACAAGTGCAGTATATAGCTTTGAAGAATATTATAAAGTATTATGCTATGGAGAATATTATATATAAAGTATAAAAATATTTTCTGTAAGCATGTTAACTTCTCTATTTCTTAAGATTTGTAATATAATCCAGTTTTTCTCTTTTTATATTCCTTTGTTAATTAAAAAAGGGAGCAATAGAAGCCTTCAATGCTCCTAATAGCAGCAAATTCATCTTTATGCTGAGTACAAGGGCTGGAGGTCTTGGAATTAACTTGGCAAGTGCTGATGTGGTTATCCTATATGATTCAGACTGGAATCCACAGGTTGATCTACAAGCTATGGTTAGTAATGTTTAACAATACCAGGAAATTATTGAAGCTCAGAATACTATTGTTCATATAGCACAAAGTTAATGAATGATTAAAGGGTAACAATTTTGGAATGATTTTGTAGAAGTTAGAATTAAAGTTGCTGAGTTAATTACAAAAAGAAAAGAAATGAAAACTAACATATATACTTCAAATATAAGTGTAAAACTTATATATATATATATTTGCTTTCATCATAGAATAGAAATGTCAGCTTTTTCCTATTCTTGAATATTGAGGATACTTCCTGAGTTTGTTTTAATAAGAAGGATTAACAGTCAATCTCATTATTTTGTGTAACAAGTACATATTAAAATTAGGCCAGGTGTGGTGGCATGTGCCTTTAATCTCAGCCCTCAGGAAACAGAGGCGGAGGAATCTGAGTTTGAGGTGAACCTGATCTACATAATGAGTTCCAGGCCAGCTGGGGCTGCATGGTTTCACCCTGTTAAAAAATCTTTAGTACTGAAATTAGAAAAGGTCAGACTGTAACTTTTGTGATACAATAATTGGGAAGAGAAGGTAAAAATGTCAGGAAAATGCGCTGTTTGAGGACATCATCTGAAAATTGTGTGTGTGTGTGTGTGTGTGTGTGTGTGTGTGTGTGTGTGTGTGTGTTCATTTGTGTGTATGTGTGTTCCTGAGAGGGCGTATTTGAAAGCCAGAGACTGACATGAGGATTTCTTCCTCAATTGCTTCTTCTTATTTTTGAGACAGGTTCTCTTACTGAGCCTGCAGCTTGCCACTTTGGATTGACAGCTTGGTCAGGGAGCCCGCCCCCTCTGCTGGAATCCACTTGTTTCAGCCTCCCAGTTGTAGAGCTGCCAGAGCGCAGCACCATGCCTGGCTTCTCTGTGGGTGCTAGAGATCCAAACTTAGGTCCTTATGCTTGAGCAGTAAACACTTTACTCACCGAGCATATTTCCAAACCTGCAAATAATTTTGCGCGTGCGCATATGCGCACGCGCACCCCCCCCCCCCCCCCCCCCCGAAACTGTTTCTCTTACCATTTATCACTGCTGCGGGCCGCAGGAATATATTATAAGAACTCAGCTGGTTATGGCAAAGTCACTACCTGGAGGAATCAGGGAATTCCTCCAGAGGAAGCCAAATCCCAAGGAGTTTTTGGTGTTACTTGGCTTGTTATATATCAGCTGTACTCTGTTATGAAAGTCATGTGTGCCTTCATAGTTTTCCCAATTGACTTTTCCCCAAGAAGGGCTAACAGTGTGGATTGATCACTCTCTGGACATACACATTCCAGGTATTTGGAGAACTGCCTCAGGAAAGGCTTTCTCTGGAATCAGATATCTCCCTTGGCCACTTTCAAGGACTAGCAGTAATAACAGTCCACATGCAAGTCTCCTGATTTAAGGTAAATTCCACAAGGAGACACCACCTAGGTCAGGTGGACGTTAAGTAATAGCTTTACACAATTCAGCTCGGACCCCCCTTTCTTACAGCCTTACTAACTTTATAGACCGCTAACTCCTTACCTAACCACTTCTAGGACTATTTAGATAACCTTGTGCGCTGACAGCAATGCTCAGCCAGAACCCCAGTTCAAGGCTCCCTGTAATTATCATCATTAGCAGCATCCGGCCAGGTCCATCCCCAGATGGAGGAAAGTACCTTATCAGAGACACCTCCGTACTTTCTAAGAACAGACTTAAGCATCCAGGCTACCTATTTGAGAAGGCCTGGCGGATGTGCCAATTAAGCCTTACTTCCTCCTTTCCCAAACCTTACCTCTGGTTCCAGATCTCCCTTTAACTATCACCAGAGGCATCTAGCTGTACACAGGTTGCCTAGTGACTGAGCACACTTTCCCCCACCCTGCAGAAAAATGGCAGTTAGCTTGGACAGATAGGAGCCACAGGAAAAAAGAAGACAGTTTTATTTTCTCCCATTGACCTAGCAACTTACAGATTCTTAACATTTTCTACTAATCACGTTTAAGATTATAGTTGAGCACATAAGAGTCCCTCTTCTTAGATATTACCCGAATTTAGCCTTTAGTTAACTCATTTCCCCATTGGTCACTTCCTTTGGGGTTGCAAATGATAATTAACGGTTATTCCCTCCCTATGTGATTCTTATCACCCCTCAGTTTGACCCTGGAAGCCTGGCTTTATAAACCAGGACTTCCAGGGCACGGAGGGACGGAGAAGAGAAAAGAGAGTGGAAGAACTAGACGGTAAGAACTTGAGAGGAACAAACTGAGATGGGAAAGAATTAGATTGAAGGGCTAGAGGAGAGTACCAGCGGAATGAGATGGAAGATGAGGAAGAGTCAGATGGGGAAGTACTAGCTGGGTAAGAACAAGATGAAAAGGACCTAGATGAGGCAGAGTTAAGACAAGAGAATTAAGGTAGAACTTAGAGGAAGCAGTAGATAAATATAGAGAGAAATCAGCCAAGAAAGGAGCTAGACATGAGAACAGAACTGAAGCTGGGTATAAAGGATGTTATGCCAGAGGAATTAAAGCAAGTGGACTATAGAGCTTGGTGTGCTGAGATTCTATTTCCTGAAAATAGTCCTCGCCGTTAGTAGTTCTCTCTCCTGAGCCCCTGGGATGTATAATATTAAGGCTGGTCCCTCTAATATTATACAAAATATCACAGTCTGGTCATTCAGGGATTACTGTTGGGAGTTTAAATTTTTAGATATTTGTAGAGCATTAAATTCTCTTTGAATGTGCTTTATTTAAAAATTGGTTATTGAGTTGTAGAGTTTTTATATTTACGTCAAGGACTGTTTTCAACCTTGTTTCTTTGTTCCTCACTACCGTCTCGCTGTTCCCATTTGCTCTGTTAGTTTCTGCATTTTAAATACACTCTCCTCACATGCTTACATTTTACCAGAATTTGCCACCTGCCACCTTTGCTAATTATAAACCATTGGAGCAATTCTAGTGTAGTAAAATTATGAATATCTCATTAATATTTATGAGCCTTTACTATGCATCCTAGAATTGCCTTGGTAAGCAGAAAGAACTGCTTGATGCATGATGAGATAAAGCAGACTTTTGTCAATATAGCAGCCCTTGCTAACTACTTTGTTCCTTACTTCAAAAACTCCTTGCTTGTCCTAGAGATGTTAAAGTTACTTAGTAGCTTTATTTGTCCTCATCTTAAATGGGATTTGCCTTATGAAATTCTGGAAGTTTCCCAGTAGTAGCACAGCACACTTTGAGATTTCTTTGTTCCCAGAAGTCTTTGGACATTTTTAACATCCACCATCCACCTTTCACAAGTGACAGGTATAGAGATATTGAAGTCTGAATGTTATTTTCGGGTATTTATAGCATTGTAGCTATATGTCTAAGTCTTGTCTACAGTCTCCGGCATCTTACAGTTGGACTCTTTCTGCTAGGATCGGGCACATCGAATTGGTCAGAAGAAGCCAGTACGAGTCTTCCGTCTCATTACTGACAACACAGTGGAAGAACGGATTGTAGAGAGAGCTGAGATAAAACTAAGACTTGATTCAATTGTTATACAGCAAGGTATTTCTATGTGGAAACTTCATTAATTGGAGAGGGGCAAAACACATTCAGTTTCCTTCAAAGGAGATCACTTTTCAATAATCTTTTCTCCCTTTTAATTTTTAGCTTATAACATAATTCCATCATTTCTTTCTTCCCCTTTCTCCCTCCGAATCCTCCCATATATATATATATATATATATATACCCATCCTACTCTTTTGAATTAATAACCTCTTTTAAATTGATTGTTATTACATGCATATATGTGTGTGTGTGTATTCCTACATATGACCTGCTCAGTCTGTATAATGTTACTTGTATGTAACTGATCTTTGAAAAGATGTTTGCAATCTTTCTTATTTAAGCCTATGCCTTTAGTATATGAAATAAACTCACTAGGTCAGTTGAATGCCAATGATATGACGTTTGCAGTGCCTTATACTATTTAGCAGAAAAATATTGGCTTCTGAAAAATTTCAACAAATATACACCAGAGAAACATTTCCATAAGGAGAAGTTATCTGAAAAATTAAATTAGAACACAAAAAAGTATTTCTGACTTGGATTTTTAACTGAAATAGTGACCTAAAATTGTGGTAGAAAAACTGGCAGTCATTTATTAAATAAATAACATTAAACCCACCAATGTTTTTCATAAAGCTACTCTATGTATGATTTGTGATTTAATTCAATAGTGTCTGATCAGAACCATTATACTATACTTTCTTTGAAATAGAATTGAATGTATTTCCTTTTAACTGTTATTAGGAAGACTCATTGACCAACAATCTAACAAACTGGCAAAAGAGGAAATGTTACAGATGATACGCCATGGAGCCACCCATGTTTTTGCCTGTAAAGAAAGTGAGCTGACAGATGAAGATATTACAACTATTCTGGAAAGAGGGGAAAAGAAGGTTAGTTCAAAATAGCATTGTATTTTCAAGATGGCTTATTTACAATCCACACATTTCCACATACATGTATTTGTGTTGAACTGCATGTTTAAGATAACTTAAGTTCTTCCTAAGAACTTGTAGAATTATGTTTGCAGGCATAGGGTAGGCTTTTACTTTTCTTAGCTCAGCAACACTGGGCACATCATTTAAAATTAAGCAATTTATATCTTCTTGAAAATACTGTACTTGAACACTCCACATTTTGTATGTAATTACATATGGAAGGACTGCATTTTGTGGTTTTTTTTGCATTGTATTAAGATACAGTACACTAACTGAAAGTGTTTTATAAACATTGTGTGAAACATTAAATCATTCTTTGTCAAATCACCCTAAGTAGTTTTACAGTATTACAATTTTGTGTCTAATGTGCCCCTTTCCTCACAAATTATAGTTTCAAACTTAAGAGAAGGTAGATAGAATGGTATAATGAGTTTCCATGTGCTTATCACCATTTACACTAAAAATAAAAAAACATAACCGGCCAGGCGGTGGTGGCGCACACCTTTAATCCCAGCACTTGGGAGGCAGAGCCAGGCGGATCTCTGTGAGTTCGAGGCCAGCCTGGGCTACCAAGTGAGTTCCAGGACAGGCACAAAGCTACACAGAGAAACCCTGTCTCGAAAAACCAAAAAAAAAAAAAAAAAAAAAGAAAAAAAGAAAAAAAAACATAACCATCACAGCTTTGTCTCACCTGAAACTACCTTAGTATTTTTAATCACACAAGATATTTAATATCCAGTAACTACTCAAACTTCTAAGTGTTTCATAGCTAGGTAGTTGTACTTAAAGAAATATTTTCCCTTTTTTAAAAAGTGCATGTAAAATCTGTACATTGCAATTGATGGGTATGTTGTCCATTTACCCACCCTCTGTATGTGTATTTTCCCCTTAATTTATGTGGTAAAAAAAAACTAGTTTGCTTGCCTTTTGACTTAATCATTGTATAGATTTTGTGGATTGCCTATCTTTGGTCCTTTTTAAACATGTTCAGGATTGTCTCAGTTCTTTTGATCTTTCTACAACAAAATACCTGAGACAGGGAAAAGAGATTTTTGTAAGTCCAAGAGCTTGGTGCTACTAGCTTTGGCTTCTAGTGAGGGCCTTATGGAGGATAGCAGTGTATGGTGGGAATATGTGTGTACAAGAGAGAGGAAGCAAGAGAACTTCAGAAGCAGCTTTCAAGATTTTATAACAACCCACTGTCATGGCAATTAGTCCATCCAGTCTCACAAGAGCTAGAGAGCAAGCCTATGAGACCTAAGTTACTCCTGAGGGAAACTCGTAATCTCTCTTAAAGACATAATCAACATCTCTTGACATTCCACCAATTTGATACCATTACAATGGGGACCAAATTTGCAGCTCATGAACCTTTGGGAAATAAAAAAACTACTGAATTTTTTATTTGATTCTCAAAAGCAATTTGATTCTCAAAATGCTTTTGTTTTAAAGGTTATAGAACAATCTTATGTTACTATGTTTTATATCAATATACAAAAAGTGTTTTAGTTTAACTTTGGCTTTATGATAGTATTAGCTATTTCTCTCATTAATATTATACAATAGAAATTATGATATGGCTACACCTTCAGTGATAAATGTCCTTTAAAGAAGCCCCAAGTGAAAATATTTGGTAATAAAACATTTAATTTTTTTCTAAATACCCGAGACAAGTTTAAATTTCAGGACATGTGTGTGTGTGTGTGTGTGTGTGTGTGTGTGTGTGTGTGTGTGTGTGTGTGTGTATGTGTGTGTATGTCTGTGTGTGACTGGAGATAGAATGTAGGGCCTTGCATGTTGTATGTAAGTACTCTGTCACCATCTCAAGAAAAGTATTTTCTCTCTCCTCTCCTCTCTCAATATTGAATTCTTTAAAATTATTTCATGTGTATGGGTGTTTTCCTGCATGTGTCCCTGGAGGACAGAAGAGGGTGTCTAGTAAACTTAAACTGGAGTTATGGATGGCTGTGGGTGCTGGGAATTGAACTCTAGTCCTCTACAAGAGCAAGAAGGACTCTAGTCCCTAATACTGTATTCTTCCCTTGTAACTTAGCGGAGTAGATACTTCATGGTAAACCTGGCTTCCAGAAAAATAGAAAATTCACATTTTTTGCAAGTTGATTCATTGATAATTTTCTCATTTCAATATATTCAATTTTAGACTGCAGAGATGAATGAACGCATGCAGAAAATGGGAGAATCATCTCTAAGAAATTTTAGAATGGATCTTGAACAAAGTTTGTACAAGTTTGAAGGAGAAGATTATAGAGAAAAACAGAAGGTAACTTTATACTTGTAGTCATTAAGTGGTCGAATTTTCATTTTTTCCTTGTAAAATCTATAGAATAACGCAGGATTTATGCAGTGCAAGGACAATCTTTAATTTATTTTGCTGTTGTCAATGCAGGTGAATACTTTTTCCCCAAAGATTGGATCAGAAGTGTTTCATGTTTTGGAATTTTTTAGGTTTTTGAATATTTGCAGAGACATTACTGATCTGCCAATTTGAAATTAGAAATACTACAAAACTTGTCTTACAATTTGGAATTTTGGAGCATTTTGGATTTCAGATTATTTTTAGATTGATATGCTCAAGCTGTACTACTACTTTGTAAGTGAACATGGGTACAGGAATGTGGTTGAGTCCTGAAACTCAACCTGAAATCTGATCTCTATTGTTAGGTAAATGACTTTGGGTACTCAGCTTGTTCATGTACCAAAGGGAGAATGTAGTAAGTATACAGACTGCTTTTCATAAGGAAATGGGTTAATGTTTTAAAGTAATTAGAACAATACCTGGCAGCAAGTGTCTTAGTTGTTTTTCCTGTTGCTTTTATAAAATACACCAACAAAAGCAACTTAAGAGGGTCTGGAGAAACAGCTCACCAGTTAAGAGCATGTACTTTTCTTTCAGAGGACCTGGGTTTGAGTCCCAGCACCTGTGTCCAGTGGCTCACAATCTCTTATAACTCCAGCTCTAGGCATCTGTCACCTCTGTCATCTGTATACTTGTTTATGTGTAGGTATACACACACACAGACCTGTAGCTTGAGTTTTCCTGCCTGGCCCACAGTCAGGATAAATCTCTCTCACCTGCCAGTCCCACAGCCGCTCAGACCCGACCAAGTAAACACAGAGACTTATACTGGTTACAAACTGTATGGCCGTGGCAGGCTTCTTGCTAACTGTTCTTACAGCTTAAATTAATCCATTTCCATTCATCTATACCTTGCCACATGGCTTGTGGCTTACCGGCATCTTCACATGCTGTTTCTCATCGTGGCGGCTGGCAGTGTCTCTCTCTCTCAGCCTTCCACTTCCCAGCTTTATTCTCCTCCTTGTCCCGCCTACACTTCCTGCCTAGCCAATGGCCAATCAGTGTTTTATTTATTGACTAATTAGCAACACATTTGCCATACAGAACATCCCACAGCACAGACCCCTAATTTAAATAATAGAATGTCTAAAAAAAGAAACTTAAATAAGGGATAGTTGTTTATTTTGGCTTACAGTGCAAGGTACAATAAGTACATCAGGGCAGGTGGATCAAGGTAGTAGGAGCTTGAAGCCATTGATCATATTGCATTCACAGTCAGGAAGAAGAAAATGCTAAATGCTTTTGTCAGCAAGCCTTTTCCTTTAAATATTTTTTTAAAAAAGAATTATGTGTGTATGTGTGTAGGTCAGAGGATAACTTGTGGGAGTCGGTTCTCTCTTTTTACCATGTGGTTCCCTGGTACTGGACTTAGATTGTCAGGTTTGGAGGCATGTGATTTTATGGGCTGAACCTTCTCATTGCTTCCCTTCCTCCTTTTTATGCAGTCCAGGATCCCATCCCAGGGAATGATACCACCCACAACGGGCCTTCTCACCAACATACTGCACCCCCAAAGGTTGATCTTCTTACCAACATACTACATCTCCAAGTCTGTCCCCAAGTGATTCTAGATCTCATCCAGATAAAAATTGAGACTAATGATCACAGTTAATATTAACTAAATTTAAGGAATAATGTCATATTAGCAGTTAATTGCCCCAAGGGCTTTATTATATGTAGTCTCTTGAAGAGGAATACCTAGTGATATAGTGCATAGATATTAGTGTTGAAAAAGTGAAGGCCTTATGTTATGTATGCTTAAATTGGAATTTAGGCAGTAATTTTTAATTTTTATTTTGAAATGACTTTAGATGAATAGAACAACAGCAAAAATAGTACAGAGTTTAATGCTAATAATATATGCAGAGGCAGAGGGAGAGGGAAAGGCAGAGGGAGAGGGAGAGGCAGAGGCAGAGGGAGAGGGAGAGGGGGAGGGAGAAGCAGAGGCGGAGAGGGAGGGAGAGGGAGAGGCAGAGGGAGAGGGAGAGGGAGAAGCAGAGGGAGAAGGAGAGGGAGAGACTGAGGGAGAGGGAGAGGGAGAAGCAGAGGGAGAGGAAGGGGGAGGGAGGGGGAGAGAAAGGGGAGGGGGAGAGGGAGGGAGAGGGGGAGAGGGAGAGGGAGAGGCAGAGGCAGAGGGAGAGGGAGAGGGAGAGGGAGAGGGAGAAGCACAGGCAGAGGCAGAGGCAGAGGGAGAGGCAGAGACAGTTGGATCTCTCACAGAGGCAGATGGATCTCTGTGAGGCCAGCCTGTTCTACATAGTGAGTTCCAGGACAGCCAAGGCTACATAATAGACAGACTCTGTCTCAAAAATTTCAAACTAAACCAAACCAAGCCAAAAAACAAACTAGACTTTACTTTTAAGAGGAATTTTAGGTTCTCAACAAAATCAAATGGAAAGAACAAATACCCCTTGTCTGACATACACCCCTCCTCTACAATCTGCATCCTGAGCCAAAGTGGTACATGGGTTACAATCATGAATGTACATTAACACATCGTTGTCACCTCAAACCCATCATTTGCAACAGGGTTCTCTTTCTTAGGGTGGCACATTCTATGGTTTTTAATAAATGCATAAACATCTACCATTATAATATAAAGTATTTTCTCTGCTGTTTTCTTCTCGGCACCTTGCAAGGATTCATCTTTTTATTATTTTTTCATAGTTCTTGCATTTTTCAGAATGTCGTACCATTAAATGAAGTCTTTTTAGATTGGCGTCCTTGATTTAGTAATATGTGTTTCAGTTTCCTCTGTCTTTCTTCATGGGTCAATAGCTCATTTCGTTTTTTAGCACTGAGAGATAGTCCACATTCTGAATGCACTGCTGTTTATCTATTCACCCACTAAAGACTGTCTTGGTTGTTTCCAAGTGTTTGTGGTTATGGATAAATCTACTGTATACATCTGTTTGTAGAATGTTTTAAAACAAAGTTTTTTTTTTTAATTTCTTTGGGACTACCAGGGAATATGCCTGTTGAGTCCTATGATAAAAGTATATTTAGATCTATAGGAAACTGACAGATTTTCTTCCAAAGTGGCTATGCCATTTAACATTCTCCCAGCAGTGAATGAAAACTCAGTCCACATCTTTACCAGTACTTGGTGGTGTTGAAATATTGGATTTTCACTTTTCTAATAGGTGTATAGTGGCTTCTTATTATTTTAATTTGCAATTTTAATTTTAAAAAATTTTGAGATAATATACTTATGTCATTTCCCTCCCCTTCCTACCCCCAATATACTCCACCTTGCTCTCTTTAAAATTAATTTATTAAATATATAAGTACAACCTACTCAGTCTATATAAAGTAACTTGTATGCATGTTTTCAGGACTGACCATTTGGTATTGGGTAATCAATCCATGTCCCTGGGCAAGACTGTTTCTCCTGCTGTCGGCGTTCCTTAATTGCTTGTAGTTCTTTGTGTAGGGTTGAGGCCACATGAGCTTTCCCCCTGCCTATATAGCATGCTTACTGGTGTTATCATTGTTCAGCTTGTATTTAGGCAGTCATGTTAGTGAATCTTCATGGATGTAGCTTCTCTGACATTTCTAGGAGACACAATCTCACAACACACTTTTTACTCCTCTGCTCTTAGAATATTTTCTTTCTCTCTTCTGAAATGATCCCTGAGCCTTAGGTGCAGGAGTTATACTGTACATGTATCAGTTGGGACTAGGCCCCACAACTCTTCAATTTGATTGGTTGTGATTTTCTGTGATGGTCGATGTCTGTTGAGAAATTTCCTCGATGCAGGGTGATAGCTGCTGTGGTCCAGCCTTGGTTTGGGTTTGCATTGTATTTTTTTCTTCTTGGAGCATATCAGATCCTACCACTGATTCTATTTGCTTGGTGTCCAGGGAACTTACTCTCAACAGTTGGCACTATGTATATTCCTGAGGCTCTTTCCCCATTCTGTGTATGCATGACTTACACTCCTTTCCAGAACTTTGAGACACAGTTAATGTTCCATGTGTTTTCTTATATGTACCTAACGGTCTCTACTGAGTCAGTAAAGTTCCCAGGATTAGGAGTTGTAGTTAGTAACTACTGATAAGAGATTTAAGAAGCAATAGCCTGCTGATTCTTAGGGGTAAGCATTTGAGAAAGAACAGAATTTCCAGGGAAAATTACAGCTGTTGCATGTGTGACTGACAAAGTAAAACAAAAAACTGCCCAAAGAATCAACAATATAATGAGAGAGAAAAGAGCCTGAAATCTGCACAAATTTGCAAATTCCTATGCTGTTCCATGGTCTTGCCAAGTGAGAATCCATTTCCGTGGGTGCCTTGCCCCAAGGAAATCCATTTGATGGGTAGTCATATGCTGAACCAAGACTAGGCTGCATGGCTCTTGACAGATGCCCTCACTTTTGTCTGTTGGTAGAAGGATAAATATTCAGAATGCAGTTAAGACCTATGCTGGTTTAGTAAAGTGGTGTTTGTAGGGTCTCTGCAAAGATCAATGACTTCACTAGCTCTGGGTAGTTGGCTGAGTTTCTAATACCAGGCATGATTTTTCTCTTTTTGAGTGTGTCTTATGTCCAATTAAAGAGATGTTAGTTGCTGCCAAGGTATGCGTACCACTACTGTACCCTTAGGGTTATTGTGCTGTGCTGGTCATCATTGTAGTTCATAAGTGTCATAGCTGAGTAGGAATGTTGATGGCTTCCCTCCTTTGGAAGTTTGCATGGCACCTTCTGGTACCATGAAAGTTAGTCCTCTGGGAAGAGACATTCCGGTCAGTTGCAACTCAAGAATCTTTGGGCCTTGTGTCTGAAAGAGCATGGTATCTTCAGCAATAGGGGCTTGCCTTTCACTTCTGGGGAGCAACCAAGGTTAATAACAATACCCTGCAATGTTTTGGGAATCTTTTGGGCCCCTCTGAGCAGCAACTCAGAAGAGGGATTCTCATGCCTGATGTTGGGGATTTTATTAGATAGCCTATGCCTCTTTGGTGGAACATTGCCATCTGAGATGGGAATCTATTTAATTATCTATGTATATTTATATAGAGATGTACCATGTATTATAGGTATTTTTTTGGTAGACATCCTTACTGTTATTTTATCCTCCCCCTCCCCCTCCATAATTAGAGACCCCTCCATTTTTCCCACTTCTTTCTTCCCATCACTTGTACTCTGTTATTCCCTTCTCTATTCTAACAGGTATAGAGGGATTTTTCCTTATTTTAATCTGAAATTTCTTGATGACATATTGAACATATTTTCCATATACTTAACCACCATCTCTTCGTCTTTTTTTTAAGTCTTTTGTCCATTTTATTTTTTCAACTGAATTGTTTTGTTTGTTTTTGTACTGTCACTATTTGGGTACTTACTTTATTTTTGATAATGGTCCTTTAATCAATTTTGTCTTTTGCTAATATTTTCTCCCCATCTGTAGTTTATTTTTCATTCTCTTAGCCCACATTACTTTTTTTGCTGTGCATGTTCTTAGTCTCTTCTAGTCTGTGTGAATTCTCTAGGTTTTGTTTTCTTTCATGACATGGATACTTTGGGAAAGCATTCATCAGTTATTTGTAACTTGTCTCTTGCTTTGTGTTTTTTTAGACAGTTTTTCATGATTTTACTGAGATTATGCATTTTTGTCAAGAATATCCCAGAAGGGATGTTGTGTCCTGTACAGAGTATCAGAGCATCAATGATCTTAACCAATCTTTTTATGGGTGATATTAACCTTTTTCATTTAGTGGATGGGGATGGCATCTGCCATGTTTCTCTCCTATGAATTTAGTATTTTGACTTTTGTAATTGATAACTATCTTGGGAAGGATGTTTTCAAACTTGTATGTGATGATCTTAGTATCTGTTGGGGGAGTTATTGTTATGATGTGTGCCTGAGGGCAATTTCCTCATTCCATCTATAATTCCTACTTGGGAATTTCTGTAAGAAAAAGCTGCCCCTTCTCTGTCAATTATTTCTGTCCTTATTTATTTATATCACTGTAGACTCATGTCTGTTTATTTTTGACTTACAATATAGTTTTATTATTATTATTGCTCAAATTGTTCCATAAAACATATTTTTGATCTGATAGAAATGATGTCTTATTAGAGTAAAACTCTTTTTTTAAAACTTGGTTTTACTTATGAGAGCTGAACCATTTTAAATCACATCGTACCCACTATACCGACAATGCTTTCTTGCCGTTATTTGCCTCTGATGGGTTTTGTTCCTTGACTTATATTTGTCTGTTTTATTTGCAATCTTAACTCAGACGCTTTGTGTTTTATCCTGCTTAGATGGAGGTGATGGCCTTTCTGCACAGGGTAGAAATTGCTTGCCTAATATGCTTTTTAGATCTAATTATATGATACGAATTTTATTTACTCTCCAATTATTCCTATGGATTATTGGTACTAAGGGTGTTTTATAAAGTGGAAAAAATATTAATAGAACCTAAATATCATTGGAACTTCTTTTTTTCAGTGCTGGGACTCCCTTATGCTCAGCACATCCTATACTACTAAACTACATCTCTAGCCCCATTCACAGAGTAAGATTAGTGCTAGTTAAATACTTTTATGTGTACGGCTTTCCTATGCTCTGATTTCTAGCAGAAATGATAATTTACAGATAAATATTTGAATGATTATGATAATTCATATAATTGAATGTCTACTATTAACAGTAATATCTAAAATCAGAATTTTTTAGTATTCTCAGTTGAGATTATATTTTATTTCTGTGTATTCATGTTTACTACATAGGGTCATAAATTACACTCATATTGTTTCTAAAGAGAATTGAAAATCTGAAAGTATATTGTTCATAAATCTTAGAAATTATATGTTAAGGTAGATTTTCACATATGATATGTTAAATCAGTTACATTATTTACTAGCATGCCTAGTAAATTTAATCATGGTAGCTGACATTAATCCTTGATAAATTAACTTGAATAAGTTAGTATTAATATGCTTTTGTCTAAAACAAGCCAATTCAGTATAATTAATTCTGTTTTTGAAAGTTCAAGAATTGGCCTTTAACACTTACTTCAAATTTCAACATCTAGATTTTCAAACATATGCAGATTGGATGGCCAAATACATTACCTTTAAAAAGCTAGTTTCAAGTATACATTTTTACTTCAATTTAGAAACATTAAATTACATGTTATTTTAAAAATCGTTTTTGTGAGTGTGTATATGTGTGTATGTATGTTCACACTAATGTGGGTGCACATGTATGTTCACATGTGTATGGAGGCCAGAGGTTGATATCTGATGTCTGCCTTATGTATTGAGGCAGGGTTTCTCACTTGAACCCAGAGTTCACTGATTGGGCTAGCCTAGCTAGCCAGCGTCCTCTGCGGAATCTTCTGGTGCCACCTCCTGAGCTATTTATAGAATCTTTCCCCCCTATTACTGTTACCTCACACACTAACTCATTTGATATAAGAAACACAATTCATCTCCCTCTTTACTGTATTCCTTCCCTTCCTCCCCTCTCTCCCACTGTTCTTTCCTTTCTTTGTTTGGTATTGAACCCTGGGCTTCTTACATACCAGGCACGTTCTCTACCACTGATATACATCTCTAGTCCTAGATGTGGATATTTATTTTATTTAAGTATCCCATTTTAATTTCTTATAACTTCTTAGAATTAGAAGACATTGAAGGTCATTTACTCTAACCTTTCTTGTAATTAAGAAATCTCACTTTATAGGGTGAGCAAGATGACTCAGTGAAAGGTGCTTGCCACCAAGCCTGACAACCTGAGTTCAATCCTTGGAATCCGTATGGTGGAGAGAACCGACTCCTAAAAGTTGTTCTCTGATCTTCGCAGGTGCGACATGGCATGAGCATGCATGCACACATACACACATATGCACACACAAATAAATAAATCAATGTGATTAAAAAAGAAATCTCATTTACAGCATCTACAACAGATGATAGCTTGTGTTTGAATTCTGAAGTGCTGGGAATCCTAACTCTCTCAGGGTAGTTGCTTTCACTGTTTGCCATCTTGCCCTTGTGTATCTAGGCAAACAGTCTACCACTGAGCTACACCCCCAGCCCTGTTAAATTATATTGCATAATGGTATTGTTTCTTGTAAAACAATTGTTTCATTGCACATTGGTTTGAATCTTATGAATCAACAAAAAACTATTCTTTGTTATTGTGTAGACTTTGACTTAGATGAGCCTTAACTTCGGGATTTATTTCTCTAGACATTGTGAGTACTTGTAGATCTCTAACCATCCTCATTATCTTAGTTTATTATCCATGTTTTTCTTAAGTGGTTTTGGGAGTTGAACCAAGGGCCTTGTGCATGTTAAACATTTATTCTATCACTGAGCTACACATGCATCCTTGACATCCACTCTTTGCCTATGATGAAATATTGAAACCAACCTTAAGATAAGAGCCCCCATGGCTCATTTAAAGTCACTAGTGAAATGGAGAAACACCACAAAATGGAGAAAAACAGAGAAATATGAAAAAATTTCCTTGGACTCCAGAACTTTATGTTGTCAATTTTGCTTGTTGACTATTAAAATGCATTTCCTAGCTCATAATGGGGTAAGTTTTGCAATGCGACAAGTCAATGGTAATATTAATTTCCATGTGTGTTAATACCTTAACATTTAACTGTTGGCTAGTTAGCTAATGCTTTCAGATATAAATCACTGTGTTTGATGTTGTGGCTCCAACCCAGGACTTTGCACAACTTAAACATACAGGGTACTACTGAGCCAGATTCCCAGATCCTTTGTGGTTGTATTTAATCTTCAAGGTAAGTATTAATTGTTCTCATTTTACAGAAAGCAGAAATAATCCTCAAAGATGTATGACCAGTGAAATGATAGGATTCAGATTCAAATCTGAATCTTTCTGATTCCAGTGACTTTTGCCCACTCCGCTACAGCTTACCTTTCTAGAAAGTTCCCTTTGATTTGAAGGAGGTGTGCTGTCACGCTGCTGCTTATCATTTACTCCTCTGACCTAGTATATGTATAAAGTTACCAGAATCAACACTTCTCTTCCTGTTATGACAATTCCTCCTTATTTACTCAATTTGCCATCAGATTCTAAACAGTTAGTGCAAATTATTCTCAATTGAGGAAGAACTAATTTTAAAATTATTTTCAAAAATGTGAAAAAAATCTTTGCTCCTAAACTTGATTTATAGCAATGTTACAGAACTTTGTAGGTAGAAGTAGGATTAGTGAAGCAAGTTTTAATTGCTTCTAATTACTACCTTATTGCATGCGGTACTGAGAAAATAGTTCAGAGTAATTAAACCTCTTGTTCTTTCTTGTGTGTAGCTTGGTGTGGTGGAATGGATTGAACCTCCTAAACGAGAACGCAAGGCCAACTATGCAGTGGATGCCTACTTTAGAGAGGCTTTGCGTGTCAGTGAGCCAAAAATCCCAAAGGTAAAACTGTACAGGGTCAGTTTTTACATGCTGTTGTAGAATTCTCTTATAACATAGTTTGTGATTCAGATTTTCTTATGTAATGCCAAGTCATAGTTCCTAAAATATAACAATACAGTAAGCACTTGCTATGGGCCAGCCACATGAATGGTTTCTGTTGTATTTATTTTTCCATATGTAGAAATCAGTAGAGTTACTTGTATCAGCTTTGTGCTTCATGAAAACAAGTATGTATGTATGTATGTATGTATGTATGTATGTATGTATGTAACATATTTTTTCCTCATAGGCTCCTCGGCCTCCAAAACAGCCAAATGTTCAGGATTTTCAGTTTTTTCCACCACGCTTATTTGAGCTCCTGGAAAAGGAAATTCTTTATTATCGGAAGACTATAGGTTATAAGGTAATTTTCAAATTAGTGTGATATAATCTTTTAAAACTGTTTTATTTGTTATGGGTGTTTTTCCTGCATGTATGTCTGTGCTCCATGTGAGTGCCTGGTGTCCTCGGAGGCTAGAGGAGGGTGTTAGATCCCCTGGAACTAAAGTTACAGGTGGTTGTGAGCCAACATGTTTGTGTTAGGGATTGAACCTGGGTCCTCTAGAATAGCATGAAGTTCTCTCAACTACTGAATCATCTCTTCTAGTCTCAATAATATTTTATGTGCTGTTGTAGAATTCTCTTATAACATGGTTTGTTATTCCAATTTTCTTATACTATTGCTAAATCATAGTTTCTAAAATATAACATTACAGTAAGCACTAGTTAAAATAGGTTGTCCTCTATTTAATATTAAAGAATATAAGAGCATATAATAATGTTTTAAACTAGTAGTAATTATGAAACTATTGAGTCACTAAATAGTGTCATCAATGAAACAATTGGTTTCCAATATTTCAAAACAGTAACATCTGTAATAATGTTAGTTCAACAGATTTAGTGTTTGGATTGTCAAAGAACATGTAGAAAAAATAACTATGAGTTAGAAATGAATTTTGACATATGATATGATTTTTAAATAATTTTCCTTAGTACAACTAAGAAACAGTATTTTTGTGTTTATTGCTCACAGGTTAGTAAAGGCCTTGTTGGTAGTTAATGGTCACTTAGATGTTAAAGATAACAATACACATGATAATTAATCATATAATTTTAAAATAAAATGATCTTTGGAATTCAAAATTCTTTTTTGCATATGTAGATACAAATTTTAGTAATTAAAATTTGGTGGCTGTAATACTACACTTATCTATATTAAGAGATTAAGAATGCAAAGTTATTTCTGTATGTGGAAATTGACTTCCTAGTCAATGGAGATGGTTGACAAAAGGTATAAGAATCACTAACATAGCCAGGCGGTGATGGTACACACCTTTAATCCCAGCACTCGGGAGGCAGAGGCAGGCAGATCTCTGTGAGTTCGAGGCCAGCCTGGTCTACAGGGCAAGATCCAGGACAGGCACCAAAACTACACAGAGAAACCCTGTCTTAAAAAAAAAAAAAGAATCACTAACATAAAGTAAATTAGAAAAGTTTCAGCAGAATTGCAATCTTATGAAATTTTCTGTTTTATGAATTGGAAGTTACATTTCAAAATTTATTTTGTCGCAGCTTTATTAGAGTTGGAACTTTGATCAATTATATTGATTAGTAGCTAGAATGTACCTAGAGAAATTCTATGTATTTGTGATAATTAATTTGTATTTCAGAATGTACATGGGCTAGTTAAAATATTGCTAGATAAATATGGTTAGATTTCGGCATAATTAAACTATCAAGACCAGAAAGAATCATTTTTAAGAAAGTGTGGCAGAATAAAGTAACCATGTTTGACTGCTCAGATTATACATAAGAAAGTGAACACAATGTAGAAACAAAATACAAAATTCAAGCTGTTAGTTATTAAATAGTTAATTTTGTGGGGTAAACAGACATATAGCACTTCATTGAGGTTTATACTCATTCTTGGTCATAGAACATTATTTTCAGCTTCTTTTATCAACTGTTATCAGTAAGACTTGAAAGGAGAATTAATTGAAATACTAGATCTTGAGTACTAAACGAAATAGTAGTGTAGAACATTTTATAATTTATACAATGCTTTACCATATATTTCATTTGATCCTAACAACCTCATTATATAGGTTTGATTGTCTGCTTGTAATTGGTAAGGGAACTGGAGTTCAGAAAGGTTCAGTTACTTTGTGCAAGGTCACATAGATAATGAGGTTGCCCTGCTCTCTCAAACCTACTTATTAGACTTTAAATACTGTGTTCTTTCTATGCAGACATTCTCGGCTATTTCTGCATGTGATATAACCCCTTTTGTTTCTGCAGTCCTAAATAAGGACTGTGTTTATTAGTGGTGTGACATGTCATTTGGGAGGTGGGCCAAGTGGTAGTCAAGTAGCAGCAATAAAAAAAATCATCTCAGATGATAGAACTGTTTATTTTCCTTCTTTGGAGATAGTGTGATTTTGTTTCCTGTGAGAATTCCAGTGCCCACTCCATTCGGGCCACAAATTCAGTTAGAATGTAAACAGTGCCTTTCATTACAGGCAGTTTGTGGTGAGGAGTGAGGCCTCAGAATGATTGTTTGGGTGGTGGCCAGCTGGAAGAACATGGAGGAGGAAAGAAACCTTATAAGACAGGGTAATGAATGGACAGCTGCAAGGGGTAAGAGAAAGGAAGAGGGAGGAGGTGTAAGAAGAGAGGAAATGAGTGAGTAGGAAGAGGAAAGACGCTATGGAGTTCGCATTCTTGCACTTTACTATTTTATCTCCCTCACCTCCCAGAAAGTGTTAGAGAAAGAGGAAGGGTGTAAGGGGGAAGGACTCCATTTAATACCTGTTCACTGAGCACTGCTTTGTGTTAGGTGCTGTGATAGGCACTTGGGAGAAAATGATAAACACGCTTGGCTGCTGGACTGCTTCCATGATGGGACACACACATGCTCCTGAAAAAAGCCCGTTTTTGTTAACTGTTCCTTTGCTACGGTGCCTTTACTGAATGAAGTTGACATCTGCCCATGTGAAGCAGCACATTTGCAAACTGATGGAGAAGGGCCTGACTCCTTCGACTCAGAATGATCTTTAGAGGCTCACATGGTGTCACACAGTACCTGTTGGGGTAGATAATAAAATCATGGGAATCCATAAGTCTAAAGGACTTACTCCCTATCTTCCTGAAGATCATTATTATTTAACTAAGGAAATAGTTACTGAAAGGATAAGAGTACTAAATTCCATCTGATTCTGATAGACACAATTCACTCATTAGCATGATATTATCAAGACCGCCACTATCCATTAAAAACATAATTAGTTCACAGCCTCTACCCTAGTGGCTTAAGCTCATCTATGTACTCAAGTGGGTAAAATCATTGTAATGGTAGTAGTAGCAGTAATAGTAATAATAATAATAATAATAATAGTAACTAATAATAATTGTAATAAAGAAAATGACAAGACTCTAAAAATTTAGATTATAACGCCAGAGACATACATTAAACAGATACCACAATGCAGAGGTATTATTTGCGCTCCCAAAGGGTGCTGCCAGGAAGTATAATTGGCATACAAAGTAGTCTGGAAGATGACGGCATGCTCCCTGAAGAAGTGTCACTTAAGCTGAGATCTAAAAGATGATAGGATTGAGCCTGCATATTTTGATTGAGCCACTATATTTTCTGTGTAAAGCAGATCCTTGAGGTAGGAAAGAGGAGGCACTTTCCCAGAGATGGAGTGTGATCAGGTAGAGATGTGTATCAGTCATAAAGAGGCAGAAATTTGGCTTCGGAGTAAAGGAACCCACTCAGATGCCTTTAAAGCAAGGATGTGGGTGGGTGACAAAATGATATTGATCTAAGCTTTCCTTGTGTTTCATGATGTTCCATATTCTGTATAAATATTAGCTTGGCATCCTCATTATAGGAACTGCATCTTTATTTTACAAGTGAAGAACTGAGGTATAGTTTACTTTTCTCAGACTTGTAGGACTTATAAGTGGTAAAGGATGATCAGATTTACATTTTGCAGAATGATTTAAATTTGTGTGCATGTGTTCTTGTGCATGCTTGTGCTTTCTGGAGTTGGTTCTCTCCTTTCACCATGTGGGATCCAAGAACTGAACTTACGTTATCAGACTTCTGTGGCAAGCACCTTTACATGCTAAGCCATCTCATTGACACTTGATTTATATTTTCAAATTATTTCCCTGGATGTGAAACTGGGGACATTTATTAGTAAAACCTCCCAGAAACTGTTGAAATATGAAAACAAGAGATGGTGGTGACAACACGGACTACAGCTGTGGGGAGCATACAGCTATGGTGGGCATACAGCTGTGGTGGGCATACAGCTGTGGTGGGCATGGTGTTGGTGATGGCAGAAGAGCCATTTCCCTGCCGCTCTCTTTCTAGCATTGTGTTCTCTTCAGCCCCACCTTGGGTTGCCACCGCGCTATCTAAAGATTTGCTGTGAGTCTCCTTAGGAATTCCTAGCTGAGGATTTAGCAAACAAACACTGCATTCTGGAGGCTGACTCTTTCTAAACTTTGTTTCTTCCATTCTTTCCTAAGAACTATGGGTCTGAGCTAAGGTGGATTATCTGATTGGAAGGGTCTTATGTTTGAATTCAGAGTACAGATAGATCACATGGCATGTTAATCATCTGTAGGATTTCAAAGATAATGTTATATGGCATGCCTTTTCAAGAAATACCTAGGATATTGGGTTGGACAGATGGCTCAGCTGCTAAAGGCACTTGCTGCCAAGCCCAATGACCTGAGTTTAATCTCTGGAACTCACATGGTGGAAGGAGAGAACTGACTTTCTCAAGTTGTCCCTGATACCCACACACATGTCATGGCATATACTCACCCTCCCATGAACACAAACAAAATCAATGTATATAAAATTCATTTCTACCTTATGCATCTAAAAAGCCCATTAAAGCTACAAGATGAGTGGAGCAATAGTTTATTTTTACATGAAAAAAGCTGATGTAGTGGATTGTCTGATGTTTTCTACACACAGGTTCTCAAAAAATGGAACTCCTTCCTCTTTTTCTGTTTAAATTAATAATCATTCAAAGGTGTCTAATGTTTTGACACTGCAACATGACTCTGTCATCTAAAAGTTCACTCTCAAGACCCATACAATTGAGTTGTAATAAATAACATATAATCTGTGTTTTAAATAAGTTTATGGTTTGGGGTTGGGCTGTATTCATAGCTCCCCTTGGCCACACATGGTACATAACTGCAGGTTAGACTGTGGGCTAAGAGGAAATAGGCATTGTCCATAGCTGGGCACACTGTAGCTAATGGAGACGATTTCTCTATTTTGAGTCTCCCAGCCTTCAGTAATGGAGGAGAGAGCTAGTGAGGGGTTCGCTAATTTATGTTTCTGTTTTGACACAGGGTCGCACTTTGCAATGCTAGCTGGCCTGGAACTCTCTGTGTAAATCAGACTAGTCTCAAACCCAGACAGCTCTGTCTGCCTTTGCCTCTTTCGTCCTGGGATTAAAGGTGTGCACTACCACACCTGGTATGGGCTCGCTAGTTCTGAAACAGTTGGTAACACACGTTTGTGAGCACCTACGTATTATTAGCTATTAGCGTTTTTATTTTCTATTTGTCCCTCCTAACATATTCAGTACACCAAGGCCACGGTAGTAGTTTAGCTAGTAGGATTTGTAGTTAAAAGACTTTATTTCACTTGGGGCTGGGAGAAGCTTCTGTTTGCTTTACTGTAATCCCTTTGTGGCTGGCAGTGTCATTTCTTCCTAAGCTTTGACCTTGCTGTGAATGAGACATCTTCAGAGGTTTTCTTACTCTCTAAAATGAAAAGAGTTGATATTTAATATACTTTCTTGTTCACCAGAGTCTTATCAGCAGGCGAGGGTGACAGCTGAAATTTTAACTGCAGAATAAAAAAGTCCAGGTTACCTGGAAGTTGCAGTTGATCTAAGAGCGTGAGTGAAAGAATTTTGCCACATTTGAAGCTGAAGGAAGCTTTAGGACATTCCAATATCTATCTCCAAAAAAGATTCCTGTAGGGACAAATATAAACATTTGACAAATGGACAAAGTTCCATACACTTTGTGAGCTTTGGTAATGTGTCATTATGGGCTGCCTGTTAAACTATGGGGAGCTGATTTCAGGCGACAGCTCTCATTTTTTTTTTGTGCTGCCACGTTTAATTTTGCAAGCCATATTTCTATGAAATCTTGCTGAACTCCTAAGCAATAAAAGTTTTTTTTTACTACCTCATGGAATCTAGCTCTTTTTTCATTCATTTATTTATTTATTGAGAGAGAGAGAGAGAGAGAGAGAGAGAGAGAGAGAGAGAGAGAGAGAGAGAGAGAGAGAGAGAGGATGAGAGAGAAGAGAGAGAGAGAGGATGAGAGAACACTACTGTGTGGAATCTTGTGGGAGTCATTTCTTTCCTTCCCCATTTGAGTTACAGGGATTGAACCCAGGCAAGTGCCTTTATCTGCTCAGCCAATTTGGAAGGAGACTACCATCTCATCGGCCTCTACCTTTCATTTTCAGTTTATACTTTTTCTATTGCTTTGTCACCATACTTCATTTCCAAGTTATAATGGCTCAGAAAGTTCTCTGCCTCTGGTAGCTTCTTTACTTTACTCTATCTAATGGAAGAATTACAGTGAAAATACTGCATTTTGATACTTTATTTCCTTGATCAAAAGTCTCCTTTGGAGTTTGGGGCTCTCTGAATCTGTCTACCTGATTTTGTTTTTTGGTCCTTTTCTCAATATTAGTCCTAACATTTCCCCCCCCCCCCCCCCCCCCCCCCCCCGCAGTGCTCGTGATAGAACCCAAACTTTCACACATACTAGGTAAGTGTCCTACCACTTAGCATACCCCGTGCCTAATGTAACACCTGTGTATCCCAGTGCATTTCTGCCTTCATGCCTTTGCTTACACTGCTCCATTTTAGATAGCCATTGCCTCCCATGTCCTCAGAACTTTCAGGTTTTGATCATTGTCCAGTCTTTTCATTTCATTTCCTCCCCCCGTTTTCTTCCTCTTCCTACTCTTCTTTTCTCTTCCCTCCCTGCCACTGCCTCCCTCTCTTTTACTCCCCCTTTCCCTGCCACTGTCTCCCTGTCTCTGTCTCTGATCTGTCTGTCTGTCTTACTTGTGAGCCATTCTCCAGCTTCAGCACCCCCAGCTGGCTAAGATAAGAGGAAGTGTGCTACCACAGTCCTTCCTTTCTGTTTATGAGATAACTCTTGTCATGTAACCCAACTCTCCTTGAACTCACAAGGTAGACCAAGTTGGCCTCAAACTTGCAATCTTCCTACTTTGGCCTAAATAATAAGATCATAGTTGTGTGTCATCACTCTGGTGAAACCAGGATGCTTAAGATAAAGGTCACAATCACAGAATTGGTTTGGGAATTTCTTGTGTGCAAGGACTGTGTCTAGTAACCCAGTCCATACTTATTTTAGTATTAATAATATAATAGACACTTAATACATTCTGATTTGGTTATCTGATACTGATGGATACAAATTAATCTGCTTTTTAATATACAATATTTCTTTTTAAATATATATTTGATAAATTTTTATCTGAAGAACTATTGGATACAACACTTTTAAAATGTTCACCTTTAAGTTATAATGATACAGGTTTTTTCTTTTTCTGAGAAGAGAAAGGGTTCCTATGTGTAACAGGCCTGGCTGTCCTAGAACTCTCTTTGTAAACCAGACTGACCTTGAACTCACAGAGATATGGGATTAAAGGTGTGCACCACCGTGCCCAGCTATGATACAGCTTTAAATGCTATAAAATATGTATAACAATGAGAAAAATACCCTCTAATAAATGTTAGAATTTTATTGTAGTATGTCTATTTGACATTTCTAGGGAATGAGTCATTTATATCATGCATGCATTCCAAACAGTGGAAGATTTGCTGCCAAGCCTTTCATTTTCATGTTTAATGGAATGCTGTAAAATGTACTAAACATGTTCTATACCTGCTCTCTGGAATCACTGAGCTGTGTCGTGGCTCCAGATGCTTGTAGTGGATGACAGAGGACTCCAAGGCTGGAAACCAGATTTGTCCTTTCATACAAAGAATGCTGTCTAATGCTGCTGAACCACAGTGGACTATGTGCAACACTGTGATGCACTGAGGCCTTCTGAGCTACCGTTTTGAGATGCACATGACCGCTGGCTTCCTCAGAGTTCTGAGCTTCTGTCCTCAGTGGTTCCAGTTCATGTTTTCTTCTCAGCTGTCAGTGGTTTTACAGTTCTGTACTTTAAAGAGAATCATTGTTATCTCTGCTGGTCACTGCCAGTGCACAAGTTTTCTCCCGTGAATGGAGATTCCATCACAGCTGTTTGTGTGCTCTGCCATACACTCCCTTTACACACACTTCTTAAATTCTATGCTGCTTTGTATCTTTTCCTTGCCACTCCCTCTAGATTACCCATTTTATACTAAATAGTCCGCCTTTATAAACCTACGGCAGGGAATGCAAGCACTCTATTGTTTTCACACCTTAAGATGACCAGACATCAGATAGCGTCTTTAGGTGCAGTGTTGCCCACTCTGCTGTATACTCCCAGGAGGCTTCAGACTCTTTAAATGCCAGACTGTGTGCTTATTCTACTTAATATCATATTATAAAGATTTATTTTGTTCTATAGCATAGTGAGACTTAGAATACAATGTGGCATTCATTTACCAATGGACTGTAATCTTAAAATATTATACCGTGCAGTATAAAAATGCTTTTTACTAGGGTAATACCATACTGGTAAAAATGTAGAGAGGACCGTGTGTCATCTGCTTCTGAGGTTCCACTGTTTACTATTGAAATGACTCTCCCAATTGATATTTATATGTACACTCTTCTTGATCATTATTTTCTCATCAGTTTATTCACCATTTCTCTCTTGATCTTAGGTTCCAAGGAATCCTGAGATCCCTAATCCAGCTGTAGCTCAAAGAGAAGAGCAAAAAAAGATTGACGGAGCTGAACCTCTTACTCCACAAGAGACTGAAGAGAAGGATAAACTTCTTACACAAGTAAACTATTTTAAGTGAATGAACTACTTCTGGGCAACAAATAGAAAAAAGTGCAAGTAATACCTGCCTTTTAGTGTATAGATCCAGTTGTCCTGACTCAACATACCCATAAACACACGTTTTGACCACATATCTTTATTTTTTAGAAAATTCCCTTTGTAGAACATGCTCTTTTGGAAACATTGGGGCAACATATACATGGAAAATAAAAGTGTCAATTATTAAAATGAAGATACATTTTTAACCAATTATATTAAGGCCAGTGAGTCCAGATTTGAATTTTGATAAATAATAATTTCCAACATATACCTGAAAATTAATTTGATTGATTTGACCCCTGAAACCAATTTTTTTTGTTTATGAAAAATTCCTTTTGAAAGAAATTAGAGTTTTCAGGAAAGAACTTGAATACAATGAGAAATGCCTGAAGCATTTTAATGTGATCATTGTGTAATTAAAAGCTAACATTAAATAGGGAAGGTTTCTAACTTAAAGCTTTCAAGTTATTGTTGCTTTCATAAATTTTGTATCACACTTCTGAAATGCGTTTTGGCAAAATAAGCCAGTTGTGAAGTTATGACACTGCCTTAGCCAGCTACGTTTCTTTCGTCAACACTTTCTGGAAGAGTGTGCCTGGCACAGGAAGAGGCAGTTACTTCTCCAGTGGAATTGTTAACTGAGAGTTTGGGATGTTTCCCGACCAAAGGAAGGAGTCCTGCTTGAGGTGATGGATGCACCAATTGGAGAATGTGTTTTACAATATCACACTGTGTCCCAGGAGCATGTGTTAATAAAAGTCAAATAAGAGTTTCATACTTATATGTTGATACAGGCCTTTTCCTTTTAATAGCATATAATTTTGCTGAATGAAATACTTTCATAAGTTCTTGAACAAATGCCTGGAAGTCACCAAGTTTAGCTTGAAAGTATAATTGCAGTTGGCAGAGTTTTAAGAAGTACCACAGAATAAAACATTTAAATATTCATGTTTGCTTTTATTTTAATTTCAAAACTTATTTCCTGAGCACAAAAATAAAGTTATGCCCTTTGAATACTACACTGCTTATAATATATTCTGAATATACAGTATAATGTGAATATGTAATCTCGATCGAGATAATTGAGTTTATAATTAGAAGCATAATCAAGTATTTTGTCACTAAGAGTTGAATTTAAGCCATCTTTTTCTGATGCTACAAATTTAATGCTTAATTTTTTTAGTGTTTTATGTTTTCCATGATGGCCTTGAATTCACTCTGTAGGTGAGAAGATGACCTTGAACTTCTGATTCTCCTGCCTTCATCTTCTGAGTGTTGGAATTACAGGCATATGCTACCATGTCTGGTTTATGTGCAGTCGGGAATTGAACTCAGGGCTTTACCCATGCTAGGCAAGCTCTCTGCCAACTGAGCTACATTACCATTGATGGAATAACAACTGTGAAATGACTTAAAGCAGTGGTTATTTTACATTTTGGTAAAAAGGTCAGATGCCTGAGTAATGTTCTGTTTACAGAAATTTTATTTATTTATAAAGATTATATTTATTATACTTAATAATATAATCTTTAAAAAGTCACTTTATTATTATTGGGAGAGGCACATGCATGTTGAGGCATGTATGTAGAGGTCATAGGACAACTTTTGAGACTCAGTTCTCTGCTTCCACAGTGGGATACAGGGGTGGACCTCAGGGTACCAGGCTTGCATGGTAAGCATTTGCAACTGTTGTTCCATCTTGCAAGCTCTTATGAATACAATTTTGAACAGAAACTACTTATTCTCTGTAGTTTGGAATTATCTAGAAAACTACAAAAGTTTTACTGCATTCTTTCTGGATTTTCTTTCAGTGTTCTTTCAATTCAATACATCCACATCGCTCTCTCTTAATTTACATGAGAACAGATCTGTGGAAGAAAGTCATTGAGACACTGAGATATCAGAACTTAAGCATTTACATTAGAATTTATATTATAATGGTATTTTAATGTTATAGGCATCTGAAAAATATGGAATTAAGACTATGCAATGTCTTAGATTATAAATCAACTTAAAGTACTTGAAAAGCTCATTTCTTTTAAAATAGAAAAGCAGTTATTTCTCTAACAACTCAAACTCAGCTTTTGATTCTACATTAAAGAAATGAACTTTATAAAGGGGCACATGTTAAGTGTTTTAAACTGCTTCTACTATAGCCTTGTACAGTTATAAGTAGGATAATAACTGAATTTATTAATTTAACATCTACTGATGATGCTTAACTTTTTATCCATAGGGCTTCACAAACTGGACTAAACGAGATTTTAACCAGTTTATTAAAGCCAATGAGAAGTATGGGAGAGATGACATTGATAATATAGCTCGAGAGGTAGAGGGCAAATCCCCTGAGGAGGTCATGGAGTATTCAGGTTTGTATGTCATTTCAAACATGATGCTTTATTTTCAATGTATGCATTTCTTTGAAAAAAGATTTATTCATTTTTTTTTTTTTTTTTTTTTTTTTTTGGTTTTTCGAGACAGGGTTTCTCTGTGTAGCTTTGCACCTTTCCTGGAACTCGCTTTGGAGACCAGGCTGGCCTCGAACTCACAGAGATCCGCCTGGCTCTGCCTCCCGAGTGCTGGGATTAAAGGCGTGCGCCACCACCGCCCGGCTGATTTATTCATTTTTAATTGTGTGTATGTATGTGCGTGTGTGTATGTAGGTCCATGTGGATGTATGCTATGTATGTGCAGGTGCCTATGGAGGACAGAAGAATACATCACATGCCCTGGAGCTGGAGTTATAGGTGGCTGTGAGCTGCCTGATGTGGTTGCTGGGAACCCAAACTGGGTCCTCTGGAAGAGCAGCAAGTGCTCTTAACCACTGAACCATCTGTCTAGCCCCTGTTTCTTTGTCATTAACTTAGTTGTGTCTTTGTACAGAGATGTTAATACTTTTGTGAATGAGATATAAGTAAAGATATTTGTACATTTTTGTACAGCATTTGTACACTGCTGTCTCTGGGAGACAACTAAGGAAGCCGGGTAAAGCTCTGCATAAACAAAAGTGAAAAACTCTGCATGGGTTTTTTATTCTCTCACTTCTTGGGTTTGGTCTTTTTAAGGTCTAGTCCCGAGGCTTCTGGTTTAGTGGTTTGACATAGTCATTGTAGGTCATCCTTGAAGTAGAGAGTTCTTATCAGGCCCATTTAGAGACTCAACTGCCCTCAAGGAATTCAATCAGGTAGTGGCGGGCCCTATTAACTTAAGGCAATTTAGAATAGATCTAAAAAGATTTCTTGGCTAAATCTGTTCAGTGGTCCTTGAATCATTTCCCTCTCCTACTCAGCTGTGTCTTTAGCCTCAATTGGAATCAGAATGGCGGCACAGAAGCATGTGGAGTTAATATTAATTCCTGTGTCAGTGCATATCTAAACTCAGGCTTCTGAAAAGAAATAGTATTAAAATTGCTTAATCTATCTGTTTTTCTGTGTGTGCTTAAATTTCAAATAGGCTGAACTTTCAAATTTAGTCTGAATAGCAAGTATTTAGAATTGAGAGCGTTTTCCACAAGGAAGCAATGTTAAAAAGTAGTTGTATGATTTTTTTGCTACCTCCCCCCCAGTTATTTGAAATAACTTCTGAAATTCTGTGTTTACTAGGAAAAAAATTACAAAACTCATAAATAAATCCAAGTTTAATCATTACTAGGGGTAGCTTTTAATTTATCTAGAGTACTAGCTAGTGCTTGAAGAAAATTATTTGTAATTAAAGAACACCTACTTTGTTTTTCCTTCTGGAAATCTAAAAGGGAATTTTGAAGTTAATTGTGTCTGGATATTATTTCATATAACATTGGATTTATGAGTTTCTTTTCCTTTGAACATTAGCATGACACTACTATTTGTCTTAGTGTTAAACATAGCTCTAGGGCATTTGGGGGGCAATATATGGGAGAGATCTAATTTCATGAAAGTTGAATGGAAACAATGTAAAGGACATGCACACCGAAGGACGTAACATCGGTGTGGGGCAAGCTGCAAGTCGTAACAGTGTTTCCGAAGACATCAGGTAGCCAGGCATGATGATTCATGCCTGCAATCCCAGCATTCAGAGTCTGAGGTAGGAGAATCAGGAGTTTGAGGGCAGCCTAGTCTGGATGGCGTGTTTGAGGCCAGCCTGGGTGTAGTGAGAGCATGTTTCAAAAATATAAAGACTAAGGTAAGCATGGCTAGGGCCCTAGGTTCCACTCACTGCACTGAAATAAAGAAGGGAGGAAATAGAGGAAGAAAGAGAAAATGTAAGAAGAAAGAAAGAAAAAAATATGCTGAGCTGGGGTTTTACGTCATTGGTAGAACTGAAGGTCCTAGGTCTGATTTCCCACACCGTGAAAACAAAAATGACAATGACAAAAAGACTTTTTGTCAGATTTCCCTTAAGTTTGTCACTAAACCAAGTACCATGAAATAAGTGTCAAAGACACGTACAGTGAGCTTTTCTGAAGAATTTTCTTTCTTCTTTTCTGAAGTTCTGTGGAGCAAGCCCAGGGCCTTAAAGTCCAGGCAAGTGCTCTACCCTGGCTCTACATATACTATTAGCCTTTACGGGGAGATTATAGGACTATTTAACTGTTGTTCATCAGATTGGAGGCCATGTCAGAGGGTGGGGAGATTTGAGTGGGCTTATTCGACTAGTTGGAGAAGAATTATACACAATTGGATGTTCAGGAGTATACTGTATGTTAACATAAGAAGTTCTCTCTGTGTGTGTGTGTGTGTAATAAGTGGGAAAATTCATAAATGAACATAAGTACTTATACAAACCATAAAATGCTAACATACCTTTCTTGCTATGCTATAGAAATGAAGAATTCAAGAAGGTAGATAATGTCATTGGAAGGCTTTTTACTGAAGTCATAAGATGTGACTTATTAATGCATCAGATTATTTGGCTCATCTGTAAAATTTGATGGGGTAGCTCAGTAATTTAAATATTCTTCTGTATGTATCCAGTTAAAAATCCCTCATCTTTAAAGAAACTGTAGGTGACTGGAAGTATAAGATTAGTGAATGATTGCAGACATAACCAACAGTTTCTATAGAAATCGCCACTTCATAGGAAAAAGGTGAATGATCTGGTAATGGGTTTATTTTCATTTTTGCTTACTAGAAAGCTATATTTACATTTATATGCTTCCTGCTACTATTTCACTTTATGCATTTGGTTTCTTTTGTATCACATTTGGGTAAAATGATAACTTAAGAGCATTTAACAATTGATCATATTATATACAAACAGATGACACCATATCTGTCTGTTAATTCTTTATTCTATAATTCCTTGTATTCATTTGCTTAAATGATAGTAATTTCAAGTAATAACTTTCCTTTTCAGCTGTGTTTTGGGAACGCTGCAATGAATTACAGGACATTGAGAAAATTATGGCTCAAATTGAACGTGGAGAAGCAAGAATTCAGCGAAGGATCAGTATTAAGAAAGCATTGGATGCCAAAGTACTATATTCTATTTCAGTTTATTAGCAGATCATTTTATTTGCTGTAGTGATTAGTTTTGACTTGTTATTGCACATTCAGTTAAAAAGTGCCATTTTGTTGAAACTTACAGATTGCAAGATACAAGGCTCCATTTCATCAGTTGCGTATTCAGTATGGAACCAGTAAAGGAAAGAACTATACTGAGGAAGAAGACAGATTCTTGATCTGTATGTTACACAAAATGGGCTTTGACAGAGAAAACGTGTATGAAGAATTAAGACAGTGTGTACGGAATGCTCCCCAGTTTAGATTTGACTGGTTTATCAAGTCTAGAACTGCCATGGTATGTATTCCTTTTGTTGCTTATTTTGAAAAAGTCACATTTCTAGTCTCCTCCTTCACTTAGCTCTTCCAATTGTTAACACTACTTGTGATGCTAAGTTTCATCACTTGGTTTCTGCTATGATTCCCAGGGCTTACCACTTTGTGGTACATATTCCCTTTGTAACTAACCAAGTGAATTTTGAGAATGTCCTGCCAGCTAGCTCCCAAATCATGACATGGAGACTTATTATTAAATATGAATGCTCAGCCTTAGCTTAGGCTTGTTTCTACCTAGCTTTTTTTAAACTTAAATTAACCCATTTCTATTAATCTATGTGCTGCCCTGAGGCTCATTTACCTCATCTATATACTGTCCATCTTGCTTTCCTGCTTCCTCCATGTCTCCTTGCATCTCCACCCTTCTTCTTCCCAGTGTCCTCTCTGCCAGGAAATCCTGCCTAGCTATTGGCTGTTTAGCTTTTCATTTAACCAATCAGAGTGATGCTTCTTCACAGTGTACAGAAAGATTGTTCCACAATTAGACACAGGGACAGAACAGTTGTTTGACGGGTTTCTCCAGATCATTGAAGTATATTGTTGAAGAGCAATGTAGGCTTGCTTTTTTAAATTCTCTTTTGGAAATGAGATTTCATTTTGACTGTCATCAGACTTTGGCAGTGAGTTGGTTTGCCATCTTGCTAAGGGTATCTGTGACCACATTTAATAGATAACTCCTTTCAAAGCCATGCATTTAGATTTCTAGGCACTTGGGTTTTTATGCATATAAAGATAGAATTTAGCGCAGCATCAATAGTTTGTAAAAGAAAAATGCTTAACTGCATTTTCCTGGAAATCACATTTTGGAACATATGTGCCCTTTTATGTGATGAAACATTTATTGAATTCTGTGATATTTCAGTGATATTTTACTAATTTTTAAAAGGTTGAGAGCTTGATGTTGGGTCTAGTTTCTTCAGTTATTAAACTAAGGCAGTAGGATGAAAGGGATTTAAAGTGCAAGAAAAGACTTAAGCTGTTTGCAATAAGATGATTGCAGAACTCTATAGCTTTCTTACTCAGTTATGAAGGGAAAAAACTCCACTATATTAACAACCACTAGATGTCTCTGAACTCCCTTGTAAAAATTCTTATTTTTCCTCCATCTTCTTATTTATTTTTTCGAAACATTTACCTCCATGCTCATTCTTTCCCTAGATATTTAAATCTTCAGAGCATGTTTGCCAAAAGGCACATATTAATTATATACGTAATCACAATTTGGAACCATATTTTGTATATTAAAATTGGATACATCCTTTTATTAGCATTTAGAAAGTAAAATATCTAATTTTTGCAGAATCTTTTAAAAACATAGTCATTTATTTTATACTTCAATATGTTAATTTAAGGGTATTTTTTAGGTAAAGTTTTCTATTATGCTAAAGTTTGATTTCCCTTCTAGCTAGTGGATAAATTTTACTTATATTTCTTGAATTAGAATGTGAGTTATATATTAAAATATGTAGATATTTATGTAATCTTTTAAGATTATGTTAATATCAATAACTATGGAGCTATAGAAATGGATTATTAATATTTATAGATCATCTTCCTCCCTTTGTTTCTAAAATAACTTCCTTTTTAGTGAATCATTTTCATAGTCTAGGGAGAGAAACTACCCTCTCGAGAGAACCAGCTGTGATTTCTGTAATAAAAAATCATTGGTTTCATTGAAAAATCCTATCTTTGAAATAGAGGATGCAATTTGATTCATTTTGTGACTGTAGCTGTGTTTAAATTAAAATCTTTCTAATGATTGAACTTGGCTTACTAAAAGATTCTTCTTTCCCAGACTCATCAACAAATAGTGTGAAATCTTTCTTAGAAAAAAAATGTAAGAACCCTAATGGTTATATTTTATGCACAAATCTCAAAGTACTGAATTCATGACATCTGACTTAAGTAACACCCACAAAGTGCTTAAAGGAATGAATCTCCACTTTCATATATGCCTCACTTTGAAAGGCTTCAGCTAAAGGTTGAAGATTTCGAGGCTCTTCTCCATTTAAAACTGCTGGCTGTACAAAAGAGAAAATAAGATTCAGTTCCATCTCTCTGTGCTAAAAAGATTGTGAATTTTTCTTGGAGAAATTGTATGGTCTTTAAGTAAGTAATCAGCCTCTATTGAACTTCATAAACAAGTAGGAAGCATATGCTGAACTCGGGGTTTTAAGCTCAGAATTCAGAGCACATGAATTGCCTTACCACTTTTGTCCTGGAGCTGGGGGATCTTAGAATAGGGCCTAGTGTTTGGTCATTCCCAAACTATCCCAAGTAAAAGGCTCTTTATGAAATGACTACGAGAAGAAATGATACTATACTACATTAAATGTAATATCTCTTATATGATGCTGACTTGTCCCCTTATGAACATTAGCTCATTAAGTTTCTTGCCATCTCTGTTCATTTATTAGTGACTGATATGACATAGCAATTTGAGGAGAATCTGAGAGTTCCAAAGGCAGTAACACATTAGTCAGTTCATTGGACAATACACATGGGGAAAGTACCTAGCCTCCGATCAGTAATGCCTTGATTCTTCTTAGTTTCCTTTTAAGTATTTAAAAAAGAAAAAGTAAAATTTAATTCTCAGAAATAAACATTCATTGATCAAATGCTTATCGTTTCCTCTATAGGATGGCTTTGGTTCTTAATTTTAGTGAAAAAATTCTTACATGTCAATTGCTGAAGAGCATTGTTTTTCTCTTTAGCCACCTCAGGAAGCTGTGAGTTGCTTTGCCTGTGGCCAAGAACATTACAGTTGAAACTGAGTATTAGTAGTTAGTCATTACAATTACCCTGTCTTTTGTAGTAGTTTAAATGAGTTTTGGCGATAGCATCTCAGAGAATCACATACTGTTGAATACTGGGTGATAAAATTTTCATGTTATTAGTTTGTTTTCAAATCACAACTTTATTATTAATGAAATTGTGCCTTATTTAAAAGTAATAAAATGACATTTCTCATTAGAACTGTAGGAGAAAAAACTGCTTCTTAGAAAATATTGCTATAGCTTTTTATGAACTTGCTTCCCACTTTATATGGTTATCACAGTGGCTAGTAAATGATAATTAGGTTACTGGTTCCACACAGAGTATTTTATAAATATTCAATCTAGTCGGAAAAGATGTTTCTTTTTAGATACTTTAGAGGAATAAGAGGGAAATAGAAATTTTCCTGGTTGTTTTATAACCACAATGATGCTTTGTTGCTTATGACTTTATATTTTAGGTTAGTACTTAACTGCATGTTGACAGCTAACATAGTTGAGGACATTACACTCTTAATTAAATATAAGAAAGATTAATAATACATTGGCAACATTGATAACCAGTAAAATGTTCTGACTGGTTCTTCTCGAGAATGGCATTTTATGTGACCTGAAAAAGGAAAGAAAGCTTCTAGGAGTAGCAGGGCAGAAGAAAAGAAGAGCATTTGGGGAAGACGTGGGGGCAGAGAAAAATGGCAAAGACAAATTTTGTTTGAAAAAAACCACAATTAAACCTAACTCTTTGTAAGTCAATAAAGTCAAGTACATTTTAGCTCATAGGAACCTGTTTCTTCCCTGTGCTTGAAAGACTAAAATGTTCCCTCTCTGCCTTAATTTTGAAAACATCCTATAATAGAGGAGGTAGTGGTTAACTTTGCTATATGGTAAAGGAATCAAAGAAATAGCTTTCACAGAGAAGGCACATTTCCAGTCGTGGAAGCAGGATTATGCAGAAAGGATAAATAAGCCCAGTATATTCCCAAAGTAGTGATATGTGCATGGGGAAGTGGTAGAAGAGGATGTAACTGGCAGCTGAGTGATGAAAGAAACCACTGCATTGAGGTCATTAGAGTGTAGGAAGTAGGGGTTCAAAGACAGATCGTAGCAGGGCAATGGTATGATCAGATTTATGTATTTTAAATACTGCTCTGGTGGAAATAGATAGATATATATCTCACTTAGCAGTTGTAGTAAAAACTCTCTAATTTCTATCTTGTTTCCCATCTTATTTTGCTTCCTTTGACTCATGTGCCACTGTCTGTCCTGGAGTCAGTTTTTCTACCACAGTTTTAACCTTGAAGTGAAGTTGGTTATATTCAAGGAGATCAGCATAGGATCTTACCCAGAGGAGGCAATAGGTCAGGAAATCAACACAGAATGTTTGGACTTCAGTTCATTCCAACCCCTACAATTGGACAAGGTTTGAATGGAATCTGAGAAACTGCACCAATATGCTACAGTTTATTTCTGATCCTTTCTTCTAGACATTTGATTGTAATTCTTGCAGCTTTTATTTATTGGTAAGTTTGTGTATCAGTTGTAAATGCCATGTGTGTTACACATGTAGCTACAGTGTTTCATTTGTAATCCTAAACTCTTGGAACAATTAGAAATACAGTTGTACCCTAATAGGGATCCATTTTGGGTATTTATACTAGCTCATCATTATGTGAAAAGGTAACATAATATTTTATGAAATAAGTTTTAAGTGACAATACTTATGTAAAAGCATCATAACATTCAAAACTTGTTTGGGAAATGTGGACTACTTTTATTTGAACATGAATTTCCATTCAGCTGCCGATATCATTGGGCTATGAGAGTCTAGTATAACCTGCTGTTGTTTTTTTTGTTAGTGTTATAGAGGTTCAAAAGTGATTCCAAATCTGGGATACAGTGCAGGCTTTGCAGATGAAGATATTGATTTCAAATAAATAGGTTTTGAGGGGATAATATATAGGGAATTTGTAAAAGAACAAAGGAAAAAATGTACCCATTTTGTGATACTGAAAATTCTAGAACAAAATTCTGACCTTACAGAATTTCATTTACAAATTCAAAGACACACATGTGGAGTGTAGCTGTTTCCTTTATTTTCCTTTTTTGTCTCTTACTCATTCATTCATTTTTGACTTTCAACCCTAACAGTCAAACTGTATCCCATTCTTGTTTCATATGGCATATGGGC